CAAACTTTAGCGATCGAGCGATGGATAGTAACCAGGGAAGCGTTGATTAGACTACATGATCTACACTTTACACTAAGTCAACAAAGTCGTTAGTCTATTACCAGTTCCTTACGCCAGCTCTATATGATCTACCACCAAGTCATTGGAGTTAGTACTCGCGAGTTGATCAAAGTCAACATTCTTGTAAGAAACCGTTGTACAATTTGTACCTGATCTACATAAGGAATGTGGCAAACATTGAATGCACAATTTTGAACACTTGTCGATCCTGTCGAGTCACCGATGATGACCACTAATCTATCTGGCCAATGAGCATCTCCAAGATGATTAAAAGTCTCTCAAAAGTTCATGCCGTGAGCATCTGGGGTGAAAAAGGACGCCGCGCAAAGGTTAGATACAAAGGCGCGATCTTGTAGGCCCTCGAGCGACACCCACTGCGCAGGAGACTGGTCCAGCGATATGCCGATTCTTCAACCCAAAGTTGGGTGAGAGGAACATTGGGACCCTCTCACTGGTGGAATTTCAAGCGATTTCATCGTTCAATCCCAAGCTCATACTGTGCATTCATCGAGCAATTTACTTGCGAAATGAGTGAACGTCATTCGAGCACAAACTGGACCGGTCGTCAGACCACCAGTGTATATCCCGAGTCGACCCGCTCGCAAGAGTGGTCACCTCGTGGAGCCAGCGAGCAAACAGAGGGAAAACATGCAGAATTAGCAGATTCTCGGCATTCAGGGGCAAGAGATCCAACCCCCTCTTCGTCCCCTGATGTCGAATATACCCATCCGCCTACCCCGGATCTCTTCGAGTCTGACTCGGAGAGTCCGGTATTCTCGCATCTTGAGGACATGGGGGCTATGAGCAACGATGACCATGCATCTAATGGCTCGTCGAGGAACGGAAGAGTCGGCTTCATAAGAGGAGTCGCTTCCGGTGGACGTGCACACACTGGCCAAGCTGCGGATGATCGCCCACCACCGCGAAAACTCTCCATGGAATCCCTTGCTGCAGCCGAACTGATCGGCAGAGGCGGATTCGGGCATGTCTACAGAGGGCGGCATACTGATACTGGGAAGGTCCTTGCGATCAAGTTAATCCCCCGTTCAGACAAAGCCCAAAGAGTCAAAGACTCGCTATGGAGAGAGCGCGAAGTGGGTGTGTGTATCTCCGAGGCTAAAGCTCGAGTTGGCGGCCAGGCAGGCAGTTCGGCAATTCTGGGCCTTTTGCACCTGCTTGGGGCCTTCTTGACTCCGGAGTGTATCGTACTTGTTACGGTGAGCGTCTATAATGGGTACTGGGGGAGTCCGACACACAGTTTAGGAACTGTGTGTGACGGACATGGCGGCAATACGCTGCCTCGACGAGGACGACCTGCGGTTCTACTTTGGGGAACTTGTGAGCATTTATTAAGTGTGAATACCGTTGTAGAGATCTAAACGCGAAAACAGATCTGCGGCGTGCGTTATCTGCACGACGAATTGGGATATGTTCACCGCGATCTTAAACCGAGCAACATCCTGCTGACCCGGGATGGACATGCCCAGATCGCGGACTTTGGTCTCGTAGAGAGCATTTCAAATGTCAACTACGAGCCAAAGCCATTGAGACCCGGTCGGGATCACTTTCGCGGAGTAGGCACTCTTGGGTATATCCCACCAGAGGCCCATCTGCTGGGTGTCCAGGGCCCCGAGGGTGATGTGTGGGCCCTTGGGGTTATCTTGTTCAGGCTTGCGACCGGAATAGTATGTACTTTGGGTCTCTTTTTGGGTGCTGACACCGAGGGTAGCACCCATTTCGCCAAAAGGGCGATGATGAAGACACGGTCGTTGGCAATGTGGCTCATAGACCACTTACCATGTCTTCTACAGAGAATCTCTCTATAAACTCTATATGCTGATCAGAGGCCTCCTGCTACGAGACAGTGAGGCCCGATGGACCCTCCGTAATGCCATGAACACGGAGGTGGTTCTTTGAGATGCGTATCCGTTGGTATTTCTATTGGGCACTTACAATGGGATAGTTCCGACTTTTGGGAGAGATGCAGGATGGAAGGCTACAGCCTCCGCCTTTGCCCCGTGCATTAGTGCGTGATCCGAAACCGGGCACACTTGCACATTAAAGTATGTGGCGGGCGAGTACTAGCGTCGCACGGATTCGCAACGGTCACGATTGAGACTAGCGAGTGCGCCGAAGATGTAGCGTTCTACTACCAACATCCCGATCTCTCCCAAATGAGGATATGATACTTTTTCTTGGACGCTCGATATCGAGCTTGTAATTGTATCACTGGTTCGAGTTGGTTTTTATGGCTTGTTCTTTATCGATATGTACATATGTGATAGCGAAGGCGTCCGAGTAGTTCTGCACTCTTGGATTGCTCCTTACGCTTGTCACGGGTTCGTTATGTCTAGACGGCTACGAGTTCAGTTACAACTTTCGACTTTAGTTACAGTTTCGGCTTCAGTTATAGTTTTCAGTCTCAAGTTCATGTTCGAGTCTTTGGCTTCAAGGTAAGTAACTTTTGTTGGTCGCTGGCTTGAGGGTCGGCTCTCAGGACTTGGGTATCGTTCGAGTTCTAGTCTATGTCTTAGTGTATTTAGCCTCCTTGAATGCTACCTTGTGATGACATGCTAGTCTAACACGTATAGAAAGGGCTTGATTAGAGACATTGACCTACAAGATGTAGTCACGAGGTCTATAATAAGTCAACTCGCGATACTAACTTCGACCTTGTCTGCGAATAAGCAGTAGCTTTGTTTGTCCGGCTATTTGCCAACCGTGTTTGGTAACAACTCGTCGTACTAAAGACGAGGCGAGTATGTGGATTTTCATACATAACGGTGGCTATCCCTCGTATACAGTAACTGTACGTTGTACGCAATCAAAAGCTCCCGGTCATTCGACCCGATGCTACCCATGCTTCTCACAAGTCAACTCGATAGTGATTTCTGTCTAGCTGTCCATACTGTAGCTCGTCTAATGTTGGGTTGCTTACTGTGAGCTCGATTCGTTATCTTATTCGCTATGAATTTCGAAATGGTACTCTCCATTCCGATCCTGGCTCCGACTTACTAGATGTTCAGCCAGCTCAACATGTTGGAATGGCAGGTTGACTCTCTCCTCATCGCGGCCTCAACATGTAAGGACCCCGAAACCGAGCTTTCAAAATCTAAAGGTTCAATAGGCCTCCAAAGCGCAAGTTGCTCGTAGATGGTGATGTTACAGTGAGATCTAAGGCTGTTTTGAACGCGATATTGTCATTTACCACTACTTTTCCAGTCGCTGCCCGAGCAACTCTCTTTTATGCATATACCAAAACCCTTCAAGAACCCGGCATATACGAAGAATAGCACTCGCAGGACGCAGACATTGAAGACGCTTCTGTCCCGCGAGAAAGAACGAGACAAGGCTGTCCGCGCCGAGTTGTCAAGACGGCGAACAGGAGTTGATACGATAGAAGAAGGGGCGGATGCCAAGATGGAAGATGGCCAAAAGCAGGCCTACGACGGCGAGGACAGGATGGACCTGGATCCCGCCGTCAAGCGACCGGTCATTCCCGAGTTTACTCTCGATGAAGTGGACATTTCCGAAGGTATTATGGACCCGGATGACATCCCATCTTGTAAGTACTTTGCCGTATGGTACATTTTATTTATCGTTACCAGACTTCTCCATCGAAGCACCACCGTCGTTTATCCCAATGAAGCGTTATTGCGACATTACTGGTTTAGAGGTAAGTCATGTCTTCCTTTCTGACGAGTTCATAGCTCAAAGCGTATAGGGCCCTTACAAGGATCCAAAGACGGGATTACGCTATCATGATCTTGGGGTCTACAACTATATTCAGGGCTTGGTACGTCTGAACTCTTCTTGATTCGATGCGATCTCACTGGCTGTAGAACCCCGCGACGATTCAGGCTCATCTCTCGATTCGTGGTTCCTCTGGAACTGTTATCAAGTAAACTCGGTGTAGATTGCGTACTTCTCTTGTGCATCTCATGTGGTGCTTGGTAACAATCCATAACTTGGACCCGACCGCTGCATTTTGTACTCCACGACCCTAAGTTATTGGAAGCACACCTTACCTATTCTATTCTCTACTTTACTCTTCTCTAATGCATCATCCTATTGATCTCAACGTAGTTGCACGCGTCGTTTCCTCGAGCCTTGGGACAGACGGCGTCGACTATCGGTATCAAGAGGACTGCGGAATGTCCGACACGTCCACTTTCGTCAAGCTTGTCAACGCCACCGATGTTCATGATACCATCATCGTCAGCGTCGCGACGCTCGTTACCATTGACAAGTTTGATGCGGGCCTCCTTCAACACAAGTTTGATCAAAACATTGCATTTCTTCAACACCCCATTGGTACAGTTCCATCCTATAGATACGCTGCTGATTACTGAGTCGGTACCACTTAGGCGTTAAACTACCCTGTGCCCCACTGTTCTCACCAGCGGCAAACCTAGCCCCGAGTTTGGGTTCTCTTGGGTCGCCTATAAGCATCTCGACGGGTGGCCACTCTCCTCAAACTGGCACCAACTTCAGCCAGCGATTCGTGCGGCAGTCGTCCACAACCTCGCTACATTTACGATCAATCTCGCGGCAGTTCGGCGCAGTTTCCGTGAGAACTCGGCTTCTAGTGCAGACTATGTTGGCTCTGTCACCCAACCACGGGCTGTTCACTTGCATCCTCTCGCAAAGGAGCGAGACTATCGTGTGACCACCCACGACTTTTTGGTTAACAACACGCACGCACGGCTCCTGAAGCAACTCACGACGATGCATTGCTTCAAGCTCCAGAGAGGCAGAGCGCCCCCCGGTTCCAAGGTGCTCGCCGTGGACCAAGTTCACGCTGTCTCACCTGTTGCACAGTTGGTGCTCGAGATGTCGTATCCGACCGTCTTGGCCCATCTCAACCTGGACCCACAGAACATTTGGATCGATCCCTTTTCTGGTGAACTCACGGCGATTCTGGGTTGGGAGCTCGCTCATTTTGCACCGACCTGGATGGCAAGCGCACCTCCTCCATGGCTACTCAACGAAAAGGCCGACTTTATGCTTCAAGCTGAGAAACGTAGCGATCCTTGGAAGATTTGGCGACCCCACTTTCACCACCCGTCTAAGAATATTGGAAAAGAGATGAAGACACTTCGCCAAGTCTGGGATGCGTCTCTACGTTCGAGTGATGCATTCAAGGGGACCCGAGCTCGAGATGACCTCGCAAGGATGGCGATGAGGGCCTGCTTTGTGGAAGAGGACAAGCTGATCAAGTCTCTTCATTGGGCTAAGCATGTGGTATCTCCGGCATCCTCCACTTTCTTTCGGATCATCTTTCTCAGACACAACCTCGCCCTTCTGGTGCTCGCGTTCGTTTTGGTCGTTCTCTACACAGGATTTGGAGGGCAAATGGACCTGGCAAGGATGGCACGTGGTGTTCCGCCAACAGCCGCTCTCGCAGCTTTGCTCCTCACGGTAATCGGTTACTGTTTCACACCCCAAGCAGTGATCATAATGAGTCCCAAGAAGGCCGCAAAGCACGTTCTCGTTATCGAGTCCGTTCTTTTCAAGAGTCAACTCCCATGGCTGTTTGGTTACACGGCGAGCGAGGCGAATAAGAAGAAGGCACTGGAGGCGGTCCCGTGCTCTCCTGCGACCAGCATTGTACCCAATGGTGTCTACATTCCCAATCTCATGTCTCGTGCTTCGACTGTCGCTGGCACCCAGTAGAGCTGCCCGAACCCTCAGTCGTTCGGCTAGATAAATAGCTTGACAGTAGCTGATGAATCCGAGTCTCAATGCCTTTGAAAGTGTCACGTTTAAGCGTGTGAGTGCGGCAAGTCGCGCCTGGCAGGGCAATCGCCGTCCAATCAACACCTTGGCCTCTTCCATTTCGTCGTAGCCACACCGATGAGCCAACCGCGCGACCAGCCCGAGCCATTTGTCCGTCATGGAGATCAGCTCGAGCAATTTCTCGTCAATTTCTGGCAGCGACAGGTCGATGCGGCCGAGACAGACCCTCCACCGTATGGAAGACACCCTCCATTGCCGCTTGCGAGAATCAAAAAGGTCATGAAAAGTGACCCAGACGTCCGAGTATGTCTCTTTTACGAATTCTGTATTTCAACGAGACCGCTCACAATCGTTTCGACGTGTAGATGATTGCTTCTGATGGTGAGCGTGTGTTGCTCGTTTGTAACAGACTCTTACACAAATATCCTAGCACCTGTATTGTTCTGCAAAGCCTGCGAAAGTACGTACAAGCCCGTTGCAAGCAGTGCGCTCGGGTATGTTACCCCGCATATCCCTCGACTGACCACTCGACGTGATCACGTGCTTTTGGTCCCCCTCCGACCTTTCCAGTATTTATCCAGGAAATCACCTGTCGGGCATTTTTGGTCGCCGACGCGCACAAGCGGCGGACAATCTCAAAGGCAGATATCGCAAAGGCTCTTGCAAAGTCGGATCACTTTGATTTCCTAATTGACGTCGTGCCGCGCGACGAGGCGGAGCGTGCAAAGACCCAAAAGGCGATCAACAGCGGACTCGAAGCAGAGGCGGTGCGTCCATTTTCTCGGTGTTCATTCTGCCAGAAGCTTGATGGAAGATTTTGTTGTCGTGTAGGCAGCTGCAGAACAGGCGAATGTGATGGGATCTGGCTCGCAGCACCAGCTTTCGCCGACGACGAGCATGCATGCGCCGGCGGTGCTTGGAGGACCAGGAGTGTATCCGCCACCTCCAGGATCACACCTTCAGCAGCTGGGGCATATGATGCAGCCACCGATGCATCCTCAACCCCCGATGCATCACCGGTCCCATTCGCACTCTCATTCTCAAGGCATGGTGCATCAGCATCAACACCAGATGTCTCAGCAGACGCCAATGATATCGCCAATTGGAATGGGAATGGGGAATCAACCGCCACCGTTGATCCCGAATGCGCGAGGGACCGGTCAGACCCAAAGTCAGGGTATGCCGCAAGCTGGAGGTTCCCAGCAGCAGCAGCAACAACAACAGCAAGGAGCAAATGGCACGAGTTCCAATGGACGAAGGTCGTCTGTGAGCAGGATGTCCCTCTCACCTACTATTCCGTTGTCCTCGTCCAGAATGGACCCGCCTTCGTCTCTTTGATCTCACATTGGCTTCCTAAAGTATGGTCCATGTAGTTGTACGGTCTGAAAAAATCCATCTGTTTGTTGTACTCGAAACTTGGCCGCTCCCACGATAGTGATTAAATATGGTCTATTCTATGAAACTCGAAAATGAAGACCGCAGACTGATATGGTACACGATTGGAGAAAGAGATGGATTCTAGAGACCATACTTGTCTTTGAGCTCCTCGGAAAGGGCGTGCTTGTGTGTGGGATGCTCTTTGAGATGAGCCTTGAAGACATCGAGGCGGGAAAATGTGCCAGTAACATTCGACTTTTTTTCGTCTAGCCGTTTCTGGGTCGCGCAACCTGGGTGCTCACATCGCAAGTCTGTGGGAGGTGTGTGCTTTGAGCGAACGTGGCGGAGGATTTCATTCGTCGTGAAGAATTTGCCAGTTTTACCATATGCTTTGGCCTTTGACGTTGGATATGGTCCATGAAGGAGCGTATTCCACCCGCCGAGTGGGCAATCAAACACTGGACATGTCATACAAGGATGATGTGCAACGGAGGACAAGATGTGGTGGCGTAGACGACGCGAGAGTCTTGTTGCCTCGGAGGTGATTTCGTCGGGGGACGAGAGGGTGTACACCGTCGTGGGAGGGAGCTCACCCGGATTCTCGACGACGAGTACGGGAAGGCCATCTTGGACTGTAAACGTGTCCATGGACGTGTCGCTTGTGGATGATGTCGGGTACGGTGCAGTTCGTCGACGCTTGGGTCGTGTAGAGGCAGACTTGCGCTGAGGGGTCGAGGCAACTGCAATCGCCATGGGGGATGTCGTGGCGGACGAAGTGGCGAAGATGGCCGCGAGCGATGCGGGGACGAGCGAGGCAGGTCCATTCGTACTCTCCTGGGTTTGACCGTGGCTCGCTGGAGGTGTTGAGTCGCGAGATGTGTTGCTACTCGGTGTTGGTGCGTCCTGAAGCTGGGGGTCGATGGCCAGGGACGAGCCGACTTGTGGCTGTAGCGTCGTCGGTTTCATCAACGAGGGGTGATGCATCCCGAGCGTGTACATGGGATTGATGCATGCGCTAGGGTGGGTGTACTCATACCCCTCGAGGGTATAGTCCATCAAGGGATAATAGTACGTCGGTGCTGGTGCGAATGGGTCCTCGCCACTGGAAAAGGGAAGAGGGATCCCAGGGTGAGGCTCTTCATTGAGAAAGTCGTTCCAGAGGAGATCCTTGCGGAGAAATTCCATCTGCGAGAGGTGAGTTTTCCGTGTCTTCGTTCGACGACTAGGGTCTCACTCTGTAGAAGAGCGTATACTAGATGATGCAAGTGCTTGGTGTTGAAAGGGACCGACATCTGGATGGGCAACTATAACTTGGTTCATGGCGGGCCATTGAACAAAGAGGACAACGACACTGGTAAACCATTTGAGTGGCTTAACACACTGTGGGCGGCGCGAGCATCCTCTGTGTTTGCCGAGAACGGCTTTAGCCAACACCAGAACAATGCTCTGCGGCGAGAAGGGCGGGTACATTGGACGAGGGAGGGCATTGTGGGACAACAGCACTGGCGCATTGGCGCACTCGTCAACCCGCCTGATTCCTCGCCATGGCTATCCGAATGCCGGCATAGGGGACAGAGGGCAAATGTCCAGAGGACTTTGTCAAGCTGATTTTCGTAGAACAGTGCAGTTTCCTGGCTGCTGGTACGCTCCTCGCAGCACAGCCGAGCAGGACGACTTTGGGGGGCCTTTACCCTTGGCATGATCGTCATGGGCTGGGAGCATGTACGTACGAGTTGTATTGATCCGTTGAATACTTTTCCCATTATTGACTTGAGCGCGCGTAGCTTGAACGCGCGTAACCTGAACGCGCGCAGCTGCGCCTTCTCGTCGACTGACCGCGTGGTGGGGCCATATGCCAGAGCTAGGCGAAGCATACCAGATAACGTATGCCATAATGTGCATACCAAAAGACATCCTCGAGTATGACAAGATAATGATTTCTGATACGAGATTGATAGAGATCTTGCTGGCGCGTCGGGGAGCGAAGCCTCTGGCCACGCATGGGCCGCCTCGCCCGGGGCCGGTGCTCCTTTACTACGGTGCCAGCTTCCATGCGGACACGGTTGCCAGCTCAAATACTCCCGGAAACAATCTTTTAGCGCAATGGCGGTTTGCTTGGCGGGCTCCCGAGTGGTCAATATAAGCTCCCCCCCAAGTTGGAGCAGGCCATCTTCAACCAAACTCTTCCCCCTCTTCGTATCGCTGGACGCACCTCTCCTTAGCCGTCGACCTTCAACTTTCGTTACTTCTACGTGAAACTCTACGACACGATCAACAGCAAAGGATCGAGGATGCTCGCATACGCTCTTCTCTCGCTACTCGCCGTCTCGACACCCATCGCAGTCGAGGCTTGTCAGAGTAAAGTCACAAAGCCTCCTCTTCTCTGGCTCGCCGATGTTCGCGCAAACGCTGCCCCCGGCACAGACTCAACAACAACGCTGAGCAAATCCGACCCCGGCATGCGCCTCATCCGATTCGAGAAAGGCGCCGTCCCCATCCCAATCACTGCAGACGAACACATCGAACTTCAGAAGTCTGGCTTGCGCTACACTGACGTCACAGAGGTCGATCTTGAAGCCATCGTCACAGCCAAGGCCGCGGAAGGCAACTATGCTTCCGGTGGACGTGCCAGTAAGTCTAGAAACCTTGAAGCTACTTTATTTATTCATGGTATTATCTAGTTCCATCGGCTCCGAGCAAGCAAGCACAAGTAAAGCCTGTGATTGCGACACTCTCGCAAGCAAACCTCAAGACGGACCTCTCGTCGCTCACGGCCTACAAGTCTCGCTACTACAAGTCGACTACTGGCGCAAAATCTGCCCAAGATTTGTTGGCCAAGTTGCAGACAATCGCCTCGTCAGCCTCGGGCAGTGGCGGCAAAGTGACCGTCAGCGCGTTTTCGCATACCTGGGGTATGTCTTCGATCATTGCCAGAATCGAGGGCACCAACACCGCGGGTGCGATCACGATTGCTGGTGCCCATCTCGACTCGATCAACCAGTCCGACCCGACGGGTGGTACCGCGCCAGGTGCAGACGACAATGGCTCTGGCTGTGTCAATCTCATCGAGGCTTTCCGAAAGCTCGTCGCAGCTGGTTTCAAGCCGACGAACCCAGTCGAGTTCCATTGGTATTCCGGTGAAGAAGCTGGTCTCCTTGGGTCCGCTGCGGTCGCAAGAAGCTACTCGACGGCCAAGAAGTCTATCAACGCCTATCTCAACCTGGGTATGTTCTAGGAATGTACCCAATTGTCGAGACTCATGAGTTTATAGATATGACGGCGTGGCTGCAAACTGGAACGACACCCCAGATTGGTTTCGTTTCGTACGTTTACATGCTGCATATCATGAAAGACATTGACGTCCGATAGTGACCGTACTTCGAGCACACTCACTGCTTTCGTCAAGAAGCTCGTGCCAGAATATTGTATGTGTTCATGTTCTTGTCACACTACCTTTCGCTGACCTTCTTGTCTAGTGACTGGCGTTATGTAAGGAACCAAAAGGCTTCGACTATATGACATACTGACCCACCTCGCAGTGCCTCTGATGACTATTGTGGATATGCCTGCTCGGATCATGCCTCGGTATGTTCATCCGCCTTTTGAATGCGTAGGCTCATCAGCGATAGTGGAACACACTCGGATATCCTGCCGTTTATCCTTTCGAGTCGATCACAAAGTACGAGAACCCGAACATCCACACTGCAGCGGATACAGCCACATCATCTCAGGTATGTACCTACTTTTCTTCCCGAGATATTCGGCTCATACTTTCCAGTTCTCTTATGCTCATGCGCACGAGTTTACCAAGCTCGTCGTCGCATACGTTATGGAGCTTGCGCTCTAGATCCTATAGGCATCCGAGTGTAGCGATACATTATTGGTTGTGAATGCACCGGCTTACGTGAGATGAATACGAAAGGAAACTGTTTCTTCAAGCAAAAAAATGCGACGACAAGAGTGCATTAGATATCGACTTCTGAGAGGAGACCGAAATCAACTCAGTCATCCTCGCCAACAAACTCTGCAATCCATTTGAACACCTCGTAGTGCCACTTGAGCGAGTTTTCGGGCTTGAGTACCCAGTGGTTCTCGTCGGGGAAATAGAGGAATCGACTTGGGATCCCACGTCTAGAGCAAATGGGTTCAATGCACGCCAAGACTTTGCAGTGAGGAGACCTACTGTTGGAGTGCGTGAAAGGCCGCGATGCCTTCAGTCTCTGGCAGTCTATAGTCTTTCCCACTATGAATAATAAGCTCCGGCGTACTCCACTTGGGAACAAGGCGCGATGGATTGAATCTGTGTAATCGAATCAGATTATGAGCTTGAATTAAGGGAATCTGTACTTTTCAGTCGCTTTCGTGATCCATGGTGGTCCTCCAAAGTCGTGATTGAACTAGTGGGTCGTCAGACATATGTAAAAGGAATAAAATGACTTACGAAGAAAAGTTCGTCCGTCGAATACCCATTATAGTGTGTATCGAACACCTATGACGATTATAAGGATGAATAGGTTGGGAGAGAGGATACTTACGCCGTCATGGCATACAAGAGCTTTGAACCCAAACCCAAACTCTGGGTGGCTCTGGATCCAGTTGATGGCAAACCCACCATACGATGCACCAGCCGCTGCAGTGCGCTTGGGATTAATCTCTGGATACCTATCTAGGACGTATTTCCACCCTGCAATCAAATCCTGGAATGGTCGACCTCCCCAGTCTTCGGTGATGGCGTCCGTAAAGTCTACCATGGTCAAGATCAAGCGCTAGTACGTGGAATGGGGACATACTCTGGCCATAGGTCGTGCTGCCCGTCGGATTGATGAAGATGGTAAAGTACCCTTGTTGAGCGAAGACTTGGGCGGAAATAAGATATGAATCAACAGATTGCATGCACTCTACCATTTGGGTTCCATCGGGTACTCCAGCTATCTTCCCATGCACCCTGTGGTCCACCATGGATCAACAATACAGCCGGATACTTTTTGGTTTTGCCAGCCTCCCATCCCTTTGGCTTTATGGCGAATCCATGAACGCGTATGTTCTCTGCGCCAGTGAACCAAAACTCTTCACCAGGATCCAAATTCTTGCCCTCGAGAGCCTCATCACCGAAGGACGTGAGTCTCTGAATCTCGAGCGGACTTTCCGGATGATCGAGATTGGAGACGAGATATGCATTGTTGGGGGATGTAAGCGAGTTGGAGGTGTACAGGATTCGCCCGCCTGGTAATGACTGTGCACCGTTTGCTGCGTGAAGCTCGGTAAGGGCGACTGGAATCGCGTCGTCTTCAACAGCCTCGTCACTGACTAGAGGGGTAGACGGGAGTGGGACAGTAAAAACTTTGATGTGGCCCAGGTCACCAGCAGTGAATACTAGGCTGGCTCCATCATGGGAGAACTGTTTTTTGCATTAGATGAATGTTGATGATGATTGATCACTAACCGAAATTGCATCGGGAGAACGGTCCCACTTGCTCGCCACGGTGAACCGGACATCCTTCTTCAGGTCGTATATGGTGATCACCGCATGGTCGCTTTCATAACCGTCCTTCGCCATCTCGAGCCATACCACTTTGCTGCCATCAGGGCTAAATGCGGGGCTATGGGTCGCTCCCTGCTTGCTGCTCGTGAGACGCCGAGGCTTCTCTCCTCCCTTAATCGGAACAATGTATACATTTTGACGAGTATGGAGTGCCTCTGGCAAGGAGGGATCCTTGGTGGTATAGACGATGTGAGTTGCATTGATAGAAAAGTCATCCGAACCGCCAAATGGTTCCACGGGCGTGTACTGCAGAGGGATGAGAAGCCGTCATTAAACTAATTTGACTAACATGTTCGCTCTCGAGCAAAGGCCGGTAGAAATTCTTGCCGAGTCTCCACGTCTCCTTTTCCTTGCTGAGGGTGACACCGAACAACCTCGACTTTTTCGGTCCACGCCAGGTGTCCCAGTGCCGTACAAAGGTATCATCAAAAACGTACGCTGTCGTACCCCGCGCTTCGTACTCTTCGTCTTGCTTTGCAACAGTCTCCAAATCATAGTCGGGGTAGACTAGAGCGGAAAAGACCAACAAGTGGCCCTTTTTGGTGAACTGAAAATTGTCTGCCGAGATTCCCTTGGGAAGAGAGCCAATCGTTCCTGCATGCGTAACTGTCACATGTTTTCCCTTCGTAGCCACGTCAAGAGCTTCAAGAGTCTGGACACCATCATCCTCTGTGACTTTGACGAGCGTGTGTGAGTCGATCCAAAATACGCTTGATCCCTCGATCGAGGTGTGCGCAGAACCAGTCAGAGAGAGCACATGAACGGATTTCTCGGATCTAAGCTTGGTCAGTAGAGTTGCTCTGAGTGGCAATAGAATCATGCCTTACTTCTTCTTCGCAAATGAAAACTGTGAAACGACCACATATGCTAGGTCACCCGCCTCGTTGGCGACCGCTGCGCCTGGGCGGGGAAGTTCGAGCATATTCTTCGGAGTGAGGATATCTGGTCCATCTCTTAGCTTGAAGTGATTCATGTTTCGTCTCTTTGACGCTCGACCGTCCATCGAGGGCGCGAGCAACACTTGTTCTGCCATGACCGATCCGAGCAAAGCTGTTACAATAGTCAGAGATAGATTCAGGCGCATTCCAGCAGTCCTGTGTCCCGTTTTCTCTAAAAGGACGGACGCGGTCGACTCCAAGTTTGTATAGGATCATGTGGATCACAACTTCGACCTTCCTTCCACCCACATGGAAGACGAGCCAATCTTGCTCCCACTCGTGCTTCCTGGGAGCGCAGAGGTAATCTCAGAGGCATGTAACAACGCAAAAACTACCGCGCTAGCGGGATGGAAACCGTCCAACTCCGGCGCTGAAGTCGCTTCAGTGGCGATGGGCTGCGAGGACGGATCCATATTTATTTTTGGACCAGATGTCCCCTCTACTGTATCAGATGTTTCTACTACGACAAACAAAGCATCTACTCAGCGGCCAACGAGCCCGCTACCGTCCATGATAGCAAATCTCACTCGGTTGCATGGCCACCCTCGCCAGTCCCGTCCAGTGTGGGGTCTTCGTACTTCAAACCGACATCTTCCACCAAGCCAACTACATTGCAGCCATCAAAATCACGCGTACAGGCAGGCATATCAAAGGAGCAAGTCGAAGCGCCAAAGAACTATGTGGACTATGATGACGAGCCAGCAAAACTCAAATCATTACTCAAGGCCCGCGAACCGGTCAAAGATCGTGGGCTGCTGGACAATCTCATTCCCGCATTACACATAGGTCACCATCATCATCGAGGAAGTAGTTCCGAAAATGCTTCTCAAGCTATCGATAAACAGTCCTCCTACTCCCAAGTATCAGTTCATGCTTCGTCAACTTCAACTTCCCCACCGGCTTCACCTACCGCCGCAAACCAGCGTCGTACCGAGTCATATTTCCAGTCCCCCATCTCGGAAGGTTGGGTGCTGAAAGTCCACGCCATGCCCCCGAGGCTTGCATTCGGGAGGGCGGTGACCGCTCTCGCGTACCTAGAGGAAGGCTCCACGTTAGTGTCTCTTCAAGAATGCGGGTAAGAATGCACTATATGATCCCTTCTTGCGCTGACACTGAATGCAAGGACTTTGTGCCTCTACTCCTCCGCCGATGGGGCTTGCCTATCGTCCATGCAAATTACCAGCACCTCATCCATAAAGCCACCTACCAACATGCCAGCCATTGAGGGCTCACTCAAGGGCGTATGGAAGTGGAAAAAGTTAGCATATGGGAGCGTGGCAGAGGTAAGCAATTTAAAACCTGTTTTTTGTCACCTGTTCATGCCCATTGAAAGACTAGATTCCTGTTTGTAGCCGCTGCCGATATTACGACCACCTGGGACGAACCTATTCACAAAACACGCATAGCCATTATCAAAGTTAAAACTTCCGCGGAACGCGACTCCTCCGTGGCGTCGGAGTATCTGAGCAAGATTGGTGAATGGGTTGTTGACTGTGCATTGGAGACGGTGGGAATGGTTGAGGATCCAGCGGGTAAGCAGCAAGGTCCCTCTCTTTGCATAGAATGACACATTCGAAGGCCTCCCCGTGTTCTATCATACTACCCTATCTCATCAGTTGATATTCCACAAGATACACATACTGGACAAGGTCAAAGTTCACATCCCACCGCTCGAGGAAGAAGCGTCTGGCAGCTCCATAAGCCTCCCGCTGACAACTATACCTATCCCAAATCCATTCAAGTCACGTCGTCCACGAGGTACCAGACCAAAGTCTGTATACGATATACGGACAAACGAGGAAGGACGGGTGGAACTTGAACCCATGGGCGATCCAATTCCTACTGGTTTTTCCGAGGCTGATGAACCTACTATCATCCTCAATAACATGAAAAACGAACAGCCAATCATCATTTATACCACCAATTGTGCCAATGTATGTTGTCGGTGGAAATCATCGCCGCTTTCCTGACCTCGATCAGGTTTTTATAGTTCAGGATGGAAAAGTTGTGTTTGTAGAGCAAGCAAAAGTATCAAATATTCTCGAGGCCGTGATTTATGCGAGTGGAGCGTTCTCGCTTTGCGGAGAGGTATGCGGCGGTAATTTCATGCAATTCATAGCTAATGATACCATTTAGGACAAGACATACACATTCAATTTTGGTCATGGTCAGAATGGCAGGTGGGATTCTACTAGGTTCCATTCACAACTCGCTGATTTCGATGTCAGTTGCCATCTGGAGTTATCTGGCACTCGCCCGAACGACGTAAACGAATTCACGGCTACCATCGACGATTGCATTATCAAAACGTCCAAGAACACTCGCGGTCTGCGACGAATACACTTGGCAATGTACTTGAACGACAAGCCCAAGAAGTTATGGAAGAGCAGGGCAACCTCCTCTAGTTGCTTCATCACAAGCTTACTCTCTATTGATCTTACCACCATCATCCTTGGATACGGTGCGTCATTGATCCGACCAACATACTGATAACTCATGGGCAAAAGATGACGGTTTCATACGGAGAGCCTCTTTATCGGAAGTCATGGCTCCAAATGAAAGCGCCAAAGTATGCGGAGAGCCCTCGGATCAGGCGTTGGATGGAAAAATTGTGCACCTGAGCCTTGCACGCAATGAACGCTCGGGGGAATATTTCATTGTTGGGGGAACAGACAGCGGCGTAGTTGCCGTCTGGGCTCTCCAGTAAGTAAAATAACAATGACTTGGATCAGTTCTAATACCCTTAGATCACTTCGTCTCGTTGCGCGATGGACGCTGTTTGCCACACCGCTCGTTTCGGTCATCCGCTTGATGGACGATGCTGTAGGTCGGCTCAAGGGATCAATAATGTGCGTAGCAAACGGAGGCACAACCGCATTGCTTCTTCTTGACTCTCTGGAGATGTAAGTCAACCCGTGTTCCATGCACATCTCAACGCGTCCAGAGCATTTACTGTACCTGGTGGCCCAGCTCGACTAGAGAAGGTCTGCATAGGAGAGGATAATCTCATGTTGATCTATTCAAACGATACTGGCCGACTTTGGGACATCAAGACGCAAGAGTTCTGGCGCTCGATGACTCGGGACAAGGCGGAAGAGTTGTTGGAACAGGGTGGATGGGTTGAATGGTACGAAACTCGTCTTTAGAATGTCGAACTTTAACTCTCTACCAGCTTAGTCGAACCAGGGGGGCCTTCATTTTCTACCCCAGCCCTGGGGTGCCTTCAGAGGTCGTTTACCTCGCTTGATACATGTGAGTTTATCCCTATCTTTGCATTTCATTGTCTCATCCTGCTTAGCGAGGACTATGATCATCGACCTACGGCACATCATGAGCGTGGGATCTGTGAAGTCCGAACCATCTACCCTTAGCCCTGGTCAATCAGAGCTCTACAAGTGTCTGCTTTCTTACTACCTAACAACTGGTCTCGATGAAGCCATTGACGATGAAATCGTCAATAAACTAGAGATTGCGGTGATGCATCCGTACAATGGGTTATGCGGGTAGGCTATGAGCTTGTTCCTGCATTTTTGCTGATGATCGTAGCTTTGGTGGCGCAGCGGTACTGTTCAACCATACATCTCCCCGCTCCGCATGGACTCTTTCGTCAATAGCAACTACTATGCGCCTTTTGGCCATTTGCTCGATTTTGCGCGCCTGTGCGTCCATAGAAGGAAAGTCGATAGTGCCCGGTGCAGGCAGCAAGCTCACTTTCATTAGGGATGGACGAACACGTAAACACAGTCTCGATGTATTACACGACTTCACTTCAAGAGACCGTTGGGAAGCAATATCAGCCACCGTTGCTTAGTACCTTGGCGAGGTTTTGGTTTGATTCGAACGGCATGCGCTTCTTATTATTTTTCTTGAGTCATTTCTAACTTGATCAAAGCGGATATTAGAACTTGTGCACGAAACATCTTTGATGCGACCGTCGGGCAGATGAGCGACGAGGCTGTGGTCGCGACCGTAGAAGAATTTAGGCATCGCCGTAAGTTGGAAGCCACCAAAGCGCATAGTCTCATCGGTATAGTTCCATGCCTGCAACCAGACGTTCATAAAGAGTCTCCCTGGGCAGTAATCGCACTTCTTGTCGTCGGCAATATTGCCATCGCCAGACATGCCGAACTCCCGCCTAAGTAAGATTTTCATTCTCTACACGAGAGCTATCCTAACTCTTTCCAGTGTCGTGACTGATGTCGCAAATTCGATTGCAATGTTTCTGCATGACGAGTCCTCAGCGCACCGTATCATTGGAATTGACTTGTCGTCGCGTGGACTGCAAATATGGCAAGCATATACGGACACGATGGAAATCCTCAGATCTCTCTTCGACCTGGCGTCCACCACTCGCAAGGATGCCGATCTGCCTAGCATCCGCAACGAAGCCACCCAGGCAAGGCTGGCCGTTCTTCACGTCGCGACGACTTGTACCCATCTCTTCATGACAAAACTGCTTCTTGATGTCACACAACCGAGAACACCAGCACATAGCCGCTCGATTATGCAACTCTTGGCCTTCCTTATTCGAAAGGTTTGCCAGCCTTCTCCATCTGCCATTCCCGTGCTTACAATTATAGAAACCCTTGGTTCTATATCATAACATTCCTCGTTTGATGGAGGCAGTCGTCAAATGTATAGATCCAAACTCGGCTCTCCGCGAAACAGTGTTAGATGCTGTGACTGGTATACTCTCCGAGGTCGTCAGAGTGTAAGAATTTATTTTCGCCTCCAAAGAAAGGGCCGCTCATCTCCTTTAGATATCCCACCGTGGATTTCCATCCGGCATCTCAAAAATTGGTGGTGGGCACGAACGAGGGGGCAGCTATTCTTTACGACCTCAAGACTGCCACCCGGCTTTACGTCCTAGAGGGGCACAAGAAGCGCATATCTGCCTGCAGTTTCTCGCCAGACGGGCGTCGATTAGTAACCGTGTCTCTCGAGGAGAGTGTCGTCATGGTGTGGAAGGTTGGGTCTTCATTTACCAGCTTCTTTTATCCGGGCGCACCCCCTCGGCAAGGACATTCGGGCTCAGAGCCATTCAAGACGTTGAACTTCAATGTTGGGTCAGAAGGTGAAACGATCAAGCTCAATGCTGGCAGTAGCTGACGAAACAACTAGCTTTCATGACAACTGCAGCCACACTGGAATGGCTGGGCTTTGACTGGCCCAGCGAGCGCAATGTTCGTTTGCGAATAAGAGAAAGTACCCTAACGTTTAATACATGAAAATCTCCTATGCCTGTACGACCATTTGGCCCCCTTGAGGACCTAATCCTGTCCTTACCAGATCCTCTTTTCTCGCAAAGATTTCTGCGAGGATAAAGGCCGCTAGAGACGAATCACCCCAGTAACTCGAATGTGCAGTGATCATGTCTACGTATTCACTGATTGTACTATTCGGTGGGAGGTAGAAGTCGATTGCTCCATGGGGGTTCAAAGCGGCAAACCTAGTTCCTTCAGCAATGTCAACTTTGAAGACCAAAAAATAGCTCGCCTGCGCTCTGCCCTGCTACCTTGTAACTTATTTGGACCACCGCCGAGTTCGAATTCAGTCTCCTCTTCGTCGTTTACGCCGGTGTCACCAGGGGCGGCGGTAGTCGTGAACAGGCCGTCAAACATCTTCGACATTCCCTTCTGGAAGGAACCTAGCATTGTTCCTGTAATACTGGGTATTGCGATTGGGGGCAGCTCAGCCGCACGCCTATGAGAGTTAGAGGGACCTCAGCGGTGCAGTTTGAGAACATACACTGAGTCTACACATGCGTTGAGCTTGTAGCTGTTACAATGTTCTGTCAAATTGCTTCCAGTAAGCATCATTCCACTCACGCAATCGGATCGGACAGCTGAAATATATTGTAGAGAGAGTCTACAGCCATGCAGCCGAACACGCCAACGCGGTCTAGCTGGAGGCAGAGGGTTAGGGCGGAGTACCAAATATAGTGAGCCTACCGCTTCGTCTGGAGGCGACTGCATGGTACGTTCTCGTCCCTTGGAAAGCTCAGAGACAAATCATATAGGGAATTATCTAACCTTTCTTGCGATGAGCTGTGCTTGGTTGATGTGCAAGAAAATTGCGAGCGGACTGCCGATCATGAACAGGGAACTTCGAAATGATTAGATCTACACGTCATACTGGTAAATTAGCCCACCTGACATTGAATAAAAATTGGTTGATTGGAATTTCGATGGATGGATCGAGTAAGGGTGGCTGCAATGTCGGCTGAGACGATAGAATGTGAGTGCAGATAGGTGATCCAAGTGAGTGCGCAACAATATGCTGGGAGAAGTCAACGGAATTGTATTAGTACGTCTTTTATAGCGTACGACGCGACCATTCTGAGCGAAGTTTGGATTTCGGGCACACCACAGGCTGTATACTCGATTTGCTTGACGACACACAGACTCGATCATTTTTTGTTGATGGTGGCTTTAGGAGATTTAGTTCAGTAGACACCGCAGAACGTTTGGATACCTCATGAAAAAAGGAATATCTATGAGAACGTCGTTCATCATCTCCCTAACCATGCTGCCCGGGCTTCAGTTATTGCGCTGTGTACTCACAAGACACTGACGGTACATGCTGTTTAAGAGTCACATCTGCCAGGGAGAAGCGGTTATCCAATCCATCCTCTGCGCGGCGACGTGACTCTTGATCGTCAAGTTTGAGATTTGCTCGCCATTGAATTGGCAGGAATTGAACGTTATGTGACCGCATGATAGAGTTGAGAGCAGGTGACATAGCCTGTTTGCTAAGTGTGTATAAGAGGAGAGCAATCTAGATATTCGCGCTTACCGTGCGACCATACGCATGAGATTAACCATGTACAAAAAGTTGTATGATTCATACTGGGCCGACAGCCCTTGTCCTATTCCGTGGACGACTAGAATAAGGTCCGTGACGTCTTCCGACCACCCTTCCCCAACTTTGGCATCAGGTAAAGGGGTCCCTGTCCTTGAGTTTCGTTGATCCAGCGACTTCCGACCTCGAGCTTCACTACTCGCAGCCTTGACATCCATGGATTTGCGCCGAGAAACTCGGTCAGCTGCAGATGTATCCAGTTGAGTGGTTGATGACCTTGAAGGTGAAACAGATGCGGGCCTCGATGGGACATTGGCTCGCCGGACTGCTTCATCATACCCCCGGTAGACCACAGGTGCCGAAGGATAAGGCGAGTTCGACTTGCTACCTCTAATGGTCGCAAATATGGCCGAAGAGAGCTTGTTTGCAAATGAGTTGTAGATCAATCGAGCTGTAAATGCGTCGTCGAAGAACACCGCGCCGTCTGAATGCTTCAAAGGGTGCTTGAGTTTCTCGTAGGCGACTGCACCAGCCTGCAGGGCTGCAGTGACTTCTTCCTGATACGAAAGCTCCCAAGGTCTTATAGTATGGTACGCATCTTCTAGGTCCGAGGCAAGGGGTTCATCCACTGGACGATTCTTGGTAAATATTGAATGACACGTCAGGAATGACTACTAGAGAACGTACCGCGTCGTACATCCAGATTGTCCTCCGAACTCGGATTGGTGGCCCGGATAGCTTCCAGAAAACGGCGTGCATCTGCACCACATCAAAGACAAGATCTCGGTAAAGAGGAGGAGTTTGCTTACGGTCATAGTGCGAACATCTACCTCAAATAAACGTTCCTTTCCAATAGCAACCCCTATGCTAGGATCGTCCTCTATTTCTTCGACCGCCGTCAACGGTGGCTCGTCGTCTATTACGTCGTTGATCGGTGTTGAAGAAAGTCTTTCTTGATCACTGAGGTTCCTCCAAGCAGCTTCGCATCCATTAGACTCATCGCGACTGAGTTTCGTCCACGATCCAGTGGATATTTTCGCAGCTGGGGTTGCAAGCAGCTCTAAATGGGCAACGCCATGCGACGAATGCCACCACCGGACGTGTATCTCTGGGCAAGACATCTTGAAGATGAATGATGGTTCCCAGTCTTGAAGGCTGGAGGCGTCGGTCGAGGTCAAGTCACAAAGTTGGAGCCGACCATGTTCAGACTTCGTCCGGCGACCCGCACAACACTCTACAGACAGACGAGACCTGTCATATTACCACGGAGATTGTTGGCAACGCATGCAGAGGAGGGCGTTTCACTTTCAGGTCGTGCCAACAGGCCTGAGCCGGCAGACGACTCGGAATCATCAAAGGTTCAGACGAAGCCAGGAGCTCTGAGAGAACATCTCGGGATCGACGTTAATCCAAACCATGGACTTTATCACTTTTTCCGCAAGGTCGAGGATGAAGACCAACTCCACGGATTTAAATATGTGCTTTTCGAAGGACTTAATGACCTTGTACATGGAGGGAGTACGTGAAAAAATCAGTTAATGGCTCCTTATTTGCCTTACTCACTTCCTTAGGTCGTTCATGGACCACAGCAGAACTTCGTCGAAAATCGTTCCGCGATTTGCATATTATCTGGTATATGTGTAGAAGGGAAATCAATCTTCTGGCGACACAAAGGGCGGAAGTCAGGAGACTTCACCATCTCGCCAGCTACGCGTCCACCCCTATCTCGAAACGCGCCCGCATGGTAAGTATTCACCCCGGGAGTTTCAAATGTTCTAATAGTGCTTTTTAGTGTCGCAAAACTTGTGCTCGGATCAAGTTCGTACTCAATGAGAGGCGGCTGGCCTACCTCGACGCAGATACCCGCATTCAGTGGAAGCATCGCCCGGGATACAAGGACCCAAAGAAGAAGCCACCTACAAAGCTTGTTCGTGGCCCCAAGATGACCAAATCTGACATCTACGAGAAGATGAAGAAGCTCGGCGCGAAACAAAAATTGAAGCACATTCACCCAGAATTGCGAAAACGCCCGATGCTTATGCTTCGTTGGGCCGGAAGGAGAGGTGCTGCAAAGCCTATCACCTTTGAGTGTAAGTTTTACATGTCTTAGTTGTGTTGGTTCTAATACCATATCCCAGCGGATATTCCTGGAGAGAGGGATGCGTAGAATATGATATCGTTCTAGTGACTGAATTTACATTTTGTGCCTTTCCTCCAACTTGACCACGTGAGGATGGGATCGGATAAGTCAAGATGCTTCAGAAATTAAAGGCGTTAACTTCTTCATCGAATTTGCAAGCTCTATCGATGTACGGTTCCGAGCCAGCTGGTTGACCCGAACCACGATGGCTACGACGCACCTCAACCTGGATAGCCGCAAGACGACTGAAGCCCCCGAGCCCCCAGAAGGAGCTACAATCACCGTTAAACCGTCACCTTCAATTCTCAAAGTTGGCGATGAGCATCATCAGCGCCGTCTCTTCCTGGGACCTATGCCTACCGACGTAGCCAGCGCCGGTGAAATGTCTCGTGACAAGAGTTACAATTCTAGCATGAGCAGACATTTCTGGTTCCTTGGATTCGGCAAGAAGCCCACCTCGGCGACGCTTCATCGTCGTAGCTTGAGCTCAGAGGAAGGCATCAGCCGCGAGAGAGCACTCAAATTCTTCCTCAACAACGGGGGTAAAGAGGAGGATTTTGATAAAGAGGAGGCAGCCGTCCGTCAAGAAATGTTGCGCAAGGTGAAACAGACACGATGGCTCCGCTCAGAGGAGAGTGATGTCAAGCCGGCAGTATCACAAGGCAAGCAATGGGTCGGAGACAGCTTTGAAATTGGCAAAGATGTCTTTGGGATTTCAACCCTTGCAACGTATGAAGAAGAGCCTCCTGTCCTTGGAAGGGCGAGTTTGTCGGAAAACCACACTTTCGCGATAATGTCTCCTGATAGTGGAGCAAAGGCTCTCTCAGACGTTGTGGGTGACACGGCTGTGACGCCAACTTTCAAAGCCAAGGTGCACGAAGCGAATGTCCCGAAGCTGCTCGACCCTTCTCAAGAGGACAAGTTCAAAAGTCAACTTGGTCCCCAAGGCGTGGATTCTCCTGCGAGTCCTTCCTCGTCTCCTCCGGAACCGGGCTCCTCTCAAACGAGGCTCTTATCCTCTCCAAGGATATCCCATGGTCGTCCCTCTGAAGGCGGCTCTGGAAAACCGAAAATTAGTCCACCATCCAGTTCTGCTTCTCTTAGAGAAGCAGCAGCAGAAGTACGGTCCGCGATGCGCCAGGGAGACAAGCAGCCCTCCGCCAAAGGCAAAGGGAAGGCACATGTTACCTTTTATGGTGACGAGGAGTCTATTAGACACGATGGTGAGCGTGTAGCGACGCCTGAGGTGGAATTACCGGCCTCTCCGACCGAGGTTCTGACTCGCGAACCTTCGCCTTCAACCAGTGCTGGCGTGGTTGCGCGATTTCATGACGAGCTGGAGCCAAATGACAACTCAGATGTGGTAATTCGAGGTAAGACCTTTGTTTTATTGCATATCAGCTGACCTCTCCTCCAGACCGCATGCTGTTTCGAGTTCTGTCGACTACTGGGGGCGTCCAAAAGTATATGGACGAAAAGCAGCTGCTAGAGATGCCAGAGGTCAGAAAAGAACGTGCTACCATGTGGCGCGAATACCTCGTCGTCTGGCGGAAGCTTTATCTCGAACTATACGAACCCTATGTGAGTGATATAACTCAATACGTCAAATCTCATACTTTCCATAGACTATCACTGCGAAGGAATGGGTGACAGGTCGCAAACACCTGGCGTATAGGATTCCATTGGTCAAAGCAAAGACGACTGTGTCGGTTTTCTCCAATGTCGACATGTCAATCTGCATTACATGCCCCAAGGCATCTGCTTACTCTCACTTACCCGTCCATCTTAACGATGATAAGCGAACAACCCTTATATTTATCTGCAAGACCAAGAGTCGCTCGCGATCAGTAGATTGGATATGGAGATTATGGTAAGATAATAACCCGTATAAGATCGCACGGCCTTATGACTTGGGTACAGGCGGAAATTGGGAGGCGAGGTACCAGACTCTGTGGAGATTCGCTGCCCAGATATTGATGCGAGAGTTAACTTTCCTATACCCGCCATCGATCCCAGTTCAGGGATAGAAGGATACAAGGCCTTCACCCGGGAAAGAGTCATCCAGATCTGCAAAGAGCAGATGAGCGGAATCCCTGAGTGGGATCTTGTCATTGAAAGTGCTCTGAAGGCCGGTCAAAGCGGGGAAGCTGGACGACTGGAGCTCTGTTGGCGAACAGAAAACAAACTTGACTGGGCATGGCTGGACGAGGATGTTGATGGAGTTTTGCGCCCTTGGTCAGTCCTGTTTGGACTGGCACTCAAGGATGTGAGTTCTCCGTGACTCATTGTATCGCCATCTAATGCTCCAAAGCCTCGTTTCCCTTCCGAGCTAGAGCTGCGAGTGGCAGATCACTTTCCCACCAAGCTATCACTAGGTGATGGGACTACTTTGCATGAGCCTCCGTCCCTCGAAGGGTATCTATACCGATACAAGACGGAGACCCACATACGCGACCCAACATATCTCGCCACACACAATAGCAACATATTCTTCCTTTCCCCTCAGTCCGCACATCCTCCGGAACCCCCAACGATTGCTCTGCAGGAAGCAGTCACAGTTCCAGACACTGGACTAGCTGCTTCACCTGCAACTGCTTCAGCCTCAATAACCCGCGCCAGTGAGGTCCAAAGAGGTGCGGCACAAATTCTCAATGCCAAATTCTTTCTTGATATGCGAAATATTCTCTCCGTGAAGCGAGCAAAGGACCCATGGGCAACAAAGCTGAAACCTGTGTTACGGCCATCGATGAGCGTTCGAGAGCGCACGCACTCGACAACAACACACGCCACCACAAACGATAGCTGCTCCCACGATGCTGGAAACGCAGGAGCAGATACGCCGAGAGAACTCCCCCCTGTGAACCCAGACGAGGAATCCCGGGACGATGACCCAGTGTTATTAAGTCCGCTTGATGCTCAAGATGAAGGCGGTGACGACGTACTTAACAGAATCACGGGAGACGAGAAGCAGGACTTGAAGCGTCGACGGTCTTTTGAGATTGAGATGCGGAATTCGGAGATTATTCGCTTCGAGGTGAGCTTATATAGAACTCGTGCGGGTTGCGACGGTTAACTCTGAATAAAGGCGTTCAGTTGCAAGGTTGCAGTGGAATGGGTAACCAAGCTCCGTGAATTAGTTGACTACTGGACTCGCAAGCACCGACTGGACGCACGGCTGGAAATGGATATTGTACATGCCAACTCGGGACGTACAAGGTTCCTCGTCCCACGGGCAGGGGAGAATGTATATCCCGCACCACCACCAGATCCTCGAGAGGCGTCTCCGCTGTTGGGAACCTGGTGGCACTGGTGTGTTCTAAACGGCTGCAGAAGTATTATCCGGGCTGGGCGCCTGTATATGGCGACAGGTGCGAAAGAAGAGATGAGGTGGGTAGGTCACTATAGCTAGAAAAAAGCTGAACAGATGCAGGCATTACTACTTTGTCCTTGTAGCCGGCCATTTGGTCCGCTTCCGGCTCATCTCCCGATCTCATTCAATCACATCAATGCATAGTCACGCCAAAACAATCAATCTTCTTGACGCCTACGTCACATCGGGGTATTTTGCCGCTCTCGAGTTAGATGAAGGGAACAAAGTCTTCGAGCCGACATCAAAACGCTTTCAAGACGGACTTGAGACGGATGACACGGACATGGACACCTTGATAATCATTCGGTATGGACCCAGAAATGCTGCATTGTCAAGTAATAACCACTGGTAGATACCGTAAGCTTCCGACAGATCAACATCTGGAGAAACGTTCTCAGCACCTGGTCTCCTATGGAAACCCCGCACCTAGTGGTGCGGCAACACAAACCACGAAGAGTAGCATGATGGGTGCAACAGCGGGGAGTGTCCCGCCATTGAACAGCAAGCACAAGCTCTTGGTCTTGCGAGCACGGAGCAAGCTTGAACGCGATGCGTGGTGTTGGGCCTTGAACGCGGAGATAGAAAGGGTCGTTCGTTTGAACGCTGCTCGAGAGCAAGCGATTCGCCAGGACGGGACCATTGACAAAACCTAAACGAATCTCATTGCATAATTTTGCTAATCCTTGTTTCTATTTGCGTCTTTCTGCAATTCGACATAGCTATTCAAGAGCGGCAACCACTTTGTCTGCTCGAGATGCAAAATCCGTGCCAGCCCTAAACACGTAGTCAATATAGATCAGCGGTGCTGGAATAATTTCTCACCAGTCAGTCTCGAGCAATATAGGCTCTGCCGCATCACCTCCGGGCACGTCTTGTGATTGGATAACCATGTAGAGATACTCACCACTCTCCTCTCGTACCTAGAAGAGAGCTCAGGAGATCAAAAGTCAGAAACAGGACCGAATACCTTTGGATATACGTGCGTCAAGAAGAAGCGGATGCAAGAGCGAGCGATTTCGAATACTTCAGAAACGGCGAGGAGCTGAACGACACTGTAAACTATAAGCTTTCTGTCGAGGATTTGGGTTTTGCCTACATTCTCATTGATGTATTGATACGTTGGACGTTCTTCAGCTTCTCAACTCGTTTGCCCGCAAAGTCAAGTAGCCTTTCCAATCTAATAAAATATCAGCTCGTGCTCCTATACCATGCGCGTTGCGGACACTTTGATTCCCTCCGCGGTGCCACTGGCCTCTCGAGCCAAACCTCCTTCAATGAGGACATCCAAAGTGGAAAGTATTGGTAGGACTATGTTATTCGATGTGAAATTTTTTGAAGCCAAATCGACGAGATTTCCTAGGATTTGCACGATAATTTGCTCCTCTGGCCGTTTCTCCTGTCGTTCAATAAGGAATTGCGTGAGGGCATCCGTGGCGGGTCGGTGCTGGAAAATTTTGAGTCTGGGATAACCAATAGAACGAGCACTACTGTATTCTCGTTCCTACTCCCGATACTCAATACTATCCCCCGTATGAGTGGCGTTCGATATCTTTCGATAGGCAGTATCTGAACAATCCGAGGGAACAACCAGCTTGCTTCGTTCCATCCGTCACCAGCCTCGACACTGCAAGGTGTGAGAATGGCAAATCGCAAGTCAAAGTGGTAAGCCTACTCTGTGACGAATAGCCTCTTCATGAGATCAAAGCCCTCGGGCATCCAGCGCGCGTCTCCCTTATTCCCAGAGACGGCAACATCAATCGCATTGACGAGCCTGACTATCTGCTTCCCGACATCCGCTCGTACATTGTCAAGTCTTTCTGCGCCCTGTTTGAGTAACCCGGCCCACAGTTGAATGTAATCATCGAGTGGAAGCCAACCCCATGGATTACTGGGCTTGTACTCAAGGAGAATAAGGATGATATCTCCGATACCCTTGATGCATGCAATGCGGACCCAGGAGCCCACATCGCCTCTTTCATCAACCGTGTAGTCTTCGAGCCCATCTAGAAAAGCCAGGATGATTGATTGGAATAGATTGATGCTCAAATCTGAGGAAGAAATCAAGTGGGACTTTAATATAATGAAGCACGTACCCGTAAACAATATCGAGTCTAGCGACTTCAGGAGGCGACTGAGCGATTCATAGGCATTCCTACGAGCTTCCACGCAATAGCTCGATGGAGTCTTCTTGGTGACCTAGTGAAGATGAACCATGTTGGCGCCGGAACACCCCGCACATACATCTCGTTTCACGACTTGAAGGAGACAGTTGATAGAGTTTTTCACACCCTCGGGATACTTACTAGACCCAGCGTATCCCAGTACCCGAGTCATGCCTTGCTGAACGGCGGGGTTAGAGGTATTCAAATCTGCGATAAAGGTACAAAACAATAAGTCAAATGCATCTCAAAACAATGAACCACTCATCTGTCAATATCCGAGGCGCTTGAACGAAGCTCGCTCAGTGTGCCGAGTACTTTTGCGCCTGCTTCTTGAACAACGTCGTTGCGATGCCTCAAGCTGATATCGAGAATGATCTTCCATCGGGGTGGCGCCGAACTGGCCACATCTGGGCGGGATTTCAGTCCCTCTGGTGAGACGCTTGATGCAATCAGCATGCATGCTCCTTCGAGCAGAAGATCGTTGCCGTATCCATTTATAGTCGCATCGGTAAGCTTATCCACAAGCTCAAATATCTAAGTATGATGAGATATGGTGATGAGCATTCAACCTCACCACCCACCTGAACACGGGCCTTGGTCGACCTTTCATCATCGGCTCTGGCTTTATAACCTTCCGCAAGCTCTCTAAGCCCGAGAAGGGCTCCATGAATCTCGTGAGAGTCCGCAAATATCAACGATCCTGACTAGACCTAATTAGCTGGCAAATCATAGAATTCTTCGAGCCTTACCAACTCGTGAACTATTGGAGGGGCAAGTGTATCGAGTTCTGATGTGCATAATTCTTTGATCGCCTGTGAGCCAATACTACGCATGGTTGGGTCCCAGTGCTTGAGAGTCGTCTGAGTTAGATGACGAAGGAAGCCCTCGCGGTACACGAGATACCTGAACACGATGAGCGCCTTGTGGATCAGCAATCGGACACCTACTTAGCCACTTCTGGAGCAGAGACAAGGAATGCATTACGGCGTACACCGACTCCATAGAAGTCAGTCCACTTCAGGACGTCAATACCATGGGGAAATAGGCCCTGCTCAACATCAGCTGCAAATATTGATTTAGTCGAGAAAGAGTACCATGCGGCCCACGTTTTCCTGGAATGCAGCACTTGCCGCCCTCCTGATATGGACTTCGCGATCGAATAAAGCCACTGTCAGAAGAGCACGAGCCAACGACACCGCATGAGGTTCGATAGTTTTTGAGTCTTGGGTCCGGGCCAAGGACCAGAGGAAATAGCATGCAGCGTCTCGTACGTTGGAGCCAATTGAGTGAGCACCTTTGCGGACGTCGAAGAAAAGTGCCTAGTTACTTTGAGCCAACTCTCCAGAGAAATCAAGCGAAATCAAACCTTGAGTGTCCACTGGATCGCAATTGGGAGCTTTAAAACGTTGATAAGACCTTGACGTGCAAACTCTGCACATGCCAATGTGGCACCGTGCCACGTTGGCTCGGCTCCTACGACAAGGTCTTCCCCCTCTACGTAGTGAACTTGGTATAAGTCCATGAGCGCGTCGAGGAGCTGATCCGTAAAGAAGGTTGGAACTCGCGCAGCGATTCTTCCAATGTATTTCGCTGCTGACCACCTTATAGTAGTATCCTAGTATCTCTTTAGTCTATATAAACAATCGTTGAAGACTCACTCGATCATGGAGGGCATTCAGTATATCGTCAATAATACCTTCAATCTGCGGCGGCAGATCCACGTCCGCCTCGGACACTTGTGCGAGTCCCTCATTGAGATTTACAACCTCTCCGTGGAGTGTTTTGGCTAACAAGGGTATGAGCTTGTGTGTAATCAGAGGAGGAAATCACCACCTGTTAGGCGCACAGTAGTGGCAGCTGGGAGGAGACGCAGCCCTACCCTGCTGGAGGCCTTGATCGCAAATTTTCGAATGACTGTATGCGTTGCCAAGCTCTTGTTTTGTGGGGCACTTTGGGCAAGCTCCAATATCCGGTCCAAATGCCGTTGAATCTGCTCCAAGCCACCGGATTTGAGTATTTCGGACATGACCTGGAGGCATCCTACTGCTTGAAATAGATCGACCTGCTCTGTGATGCGTGGGGTACACCACTCGAGGAATGACCCGAGTAGCACACATGTGTCTTGTCTGAGTAATGATCTCAGAGGGCTCATGAGGCTGAATAGGAGAATGCATACCTCGTGTAGAGCCTAGCCAGTAAAAGTGCTGCAGCGTCCCGCTCCAAGCCAGCTTTCTCCAAATACATTTTCCCAATGCTCTCGATGATCTGAGCCGTCTGTCCACACTGTGCACCGGGATCATCAAAGCTCGACAAATCGAACGGAAGGCGACAGATGAGCGAGAGCCACAAAAGAACGACGTAGCGAATGGCCCACGATCCCCATTGACCGTGGCTCTCGAGGAGTTTCATATATGAAAGGGCGTCATTCAGGTCCAAGATTTGATGAGGAAAGAAAGAAACTAGGAAATGTTCAATTCAAGAGAATAACGTTTGTACGGCGTCCCTACCGATGGTTTTATACCCGCGAGTCTTGATTATCTGATAGATGATCGTAGCCAGAGAACTCATGTTCATGGCGGGAGTATATTGCTTCCCACTGGCGACCACCTCCGAAGCATGGCGCCTTATAGCCTCGATAGGAGGTCCAATGATTCTCTCGAGCCATGGGTCGAGCAAATATGCTTGTTCTTGATACTCTCCAGTCTTCAAAATCATTAGTTTCGGCTGTGTACGTTGAGCATTTACGCGCAATAATATGGATCATTTTCCAGGCCTGACTATGTTCCGGTGTGTGCGTCGCGTCGCTGTACAAATCTTGATCCACAATGACCTTCAAGTAGCCTAGGAATTCCTCTGCTTTCTCAAAGTGTGCATGCTGCTTCAGATCATCGTTCTCGTAGGCCATCGCAGGCGGAGAGATCAAGAGCGAGTTGGCGTCTAACAAGGACAAAGGGGAATATTCAATACAAGATAATGTTTCGATACAATTATATTAGAAGACGATTTTCTTCCCCATTGGCGGCAACACCATGGGTTGTAGCTTTTTCTTCCTGGCTGCTTCCCAGGATGGATGTATGACGGCGTCCGTCTTCTGGGCTTTCCGTCTAGAAGGAGTATCAGTCGCTGGTCGAGGATGTCGTTGTGGTGTCGTCGAGGGCTGATCAGACCGGGTTCGTTTCGGACCTTTCCAAGCCAAGAAAGGCGGCTTCAAGGAGCCTTTCCGGGGCATAGAACCGTCTTTCTGCGCTTCTCGTTCCCTTTTGAGATGGTTTGCGTTCTTGCCATACTTTTTCTCCCATATACTGACAAGGTCTGAGAGCAGTCTCGGCCGCACAAGATCAGCACTTACGCCATCCGAGCCCTTTGCCCACGTCTGTTCTTGCGAGGCGCTATATCTATCCCGCCTTTGCTCTTCTTGCCGTTTTTACCTTGCTCCATGTCGGATGCTTCCGAGTCGCCTGATATATATCCAACAGCGAGAGAGGGTAGAAATGAGGATTGCCCCGTCAACGGCTCGGACTTGAGGTCGTCTTGGTCTTGCGAGAGGTCACGATCCAATATTTCCTCGGATTCGCTCTGGGTATCTTCTGCCTCGCTCTCAGCGTCAGATTCCGCCTCGGAACTATCATCTGGGATCTTGCTCCTATGGAGGTTGCCCACGATGGGCCTCGTATGATCATCATCAATGGATCCCGAGCTCCATTCATCCTGCTCTGCCATATCCACGTTCTCTACAGGACCAGATGTGACAACCTGCTTCTCGCGGCTCTCTGAAGGTTGGAGAACAGATACGAGTGAGGCAACAACACTGGAGACTTGACCCGCCAGAAACTTGGAACTCCGCAACCTGTTCTCTGAGAGCGCCTTTGAGGATGACTGGGGCTTGGAATGGTGCTTTGCGTCCCATGAGGCGACATCCTCTAGTTCCTTCTCCAAAATCTGGACACAGGACTCGTTTTGAAGAGCGGCATCCTTGCTCAACCGTCGTAGTAGCATACTGCTAGCAACCATTTCACAGTCAATGGTCTAGTCCCGAATTACTCAGAGTATTTACAAGTTTGGTGAGGATACGTGCCTTTAAGTCTTCGAGTTGCTGCTCTAGTATTGTTAGTTCTTGCTTTTGTTCGGTTTTTGCGCTAAATCAGAGTAATGAGGTTGGTGGTCTCCTCATACAATATCCGTCTTACCGAGTATCCTTGATTTTGCGGACGAGTCGTTGTATCTCGCGCATTCTAGCCGTTTTTCCAGCCTTTTTTATCTCCTTGGTTGCATGGTGCTACAACGCGTTGGATCAAGGTTCCCAAAGAGCTGTTTTACCACCAACTTCCCCGCAAACTTCTCTTCTGGAGTGGGCATTGGAGTCTTGATAATCTTCCGACGTTTTGCAGGCGACTCGGCATCCATTCCAGGGACCCTTTTTCGTTTTTCATGGCCGAGCTGTTTGGTTGCCATTGAGGAGAGGGTCAAGAGTGGCGAGCGTGTTCCAGCTTGTATATATATCATTCCATTGGAATAAGGGTCTAGCTAACAAATTCAAGGAAGGGATAATTCCATCAAGAATGCCACTCCGAGCTTTGTAAACTCCAGACTATGCGCAAAATCGAATCCATTGACGGTAATGACGTCTCCCGAACCATGAATGTTGGGGTTGTCATCCCTAATTTCCTGTTAGGATTACACCCGGGTGAGTTGAAAGAAATGCTCACCCAAACGTCGTCTCGAAAGGGAAGACGGAAGGGTATCCAGCGCTGTTCCACGAAGCATGGTCTGAGCAGCCATATCTAACTATTGGTTAAAGTGAGGTAGGATAGAAGATCATTGAACGTACCCGCATTTGGACGAGGAGATACCGATGTTGCTCACTGGGCAAGTCGCTCAGTCATGGCAGAGAGGACGAACGAACTTACAGTAAGTCGTAACGAGCGTTTTGGTAAATGTGGTTAGAGCCAAGTTTGTATAGTCGGTAATGAACCCAACGACCGGACTCGTACCCGGTTTGACATAGCCGGTCATATCTATGTCCTATCAGATCATATCTAGGACTGGGATTCCATACCAACCTAATTGAAGCATGCCTTTGACAGCGATTCCTGAGTTGGCATATGACTTTGCAATAGCGGAGCTTCCGAGAAGACCACCCTCTTCACCGGCATACCAGTGATACTCGACGGGGTTTGCGGGTTTGAATCCAGCTGCTGTCATTTTGCGGAAAGCCTCGATGAGGTTCACAGATCCCGTTCCATCATCGTCCGCCCCAGGGGCTCGCCCAGAGGAGGGAGAGTTTGATTGATAGAATCTATTCGAATCTCAACCGGTGTTTTAGTAGGATGTGAGAATAGTCACCAAGGTGAGCCCCAATGATCACGACGGGAGCGCTTGGGGTCGTTCCTTCTATGCGCGCGATTACCGAGGGCATGGTGAAAGAGTTAGTAAATGTTTTAACGGTGATAGCACCCCCGGTTCCAGGTGCCGCGGTGGCAATCTTTGGGCCTGTAAGCGTATTGCACTCAGTTCGAATGCGAACTTACCGTCTTGAGCTTAGCAGCCAGATCGTTGGCAGCGGCTGCACCTGTACTCGAGCGATAATAGCGGTTGTTGTATGCTGTAAGTATTGCGAGGTCGTTCTTGAGATTAGCTTGGGAGAGGGTTGCAAGGACCGCCTTCACTTGTGTCTGGTGCGTAGGCCCTGATGGAACTAGAATGGCGCATTCAGTAACTACAGTGTAGTTGAGAAGCCAAGTTCTCACAGGTTGCCAAAAGGTCGACTCTGTCCTTTGCTTGGCGCTCCGCCCTCACCTGCTCAAGATCGACCTCGGTAACGTCCATATATCGGATTCCCGTTCTCTCAAGAGCATCCTTCTCCTCAATAGTGATGGGTACAGGAGTGACGCCTACACATGATTAGAGACTTTCCAGACATGATGTGGGGACAAACCTTCAGCGAAGCGAATTTTTCTGATACCTGGCGTATCAAGAGTAGGAGCGCCCGTACCAGTCGAATTGCGCAAGCTAGCGAGCCAGTACGTCGGGTTCTCGGGGCGTCGGAGTTGATATCCCACCACGAGGTGGGAACTAACCAGAGCGAGCAAGGACAGGAAAACTTTAGAGAGCATGATGCAGGGGTATTCGTCTGTCAAATAAAACAAGGGAAGGCAGTGATTGCCTCTTGCCCCATCGTTGTGCACCAACCCCCCTTTTTATCGTCCAAGGGCATGCGGCTATCCGGAAAGGGAGTGACGAACTCGGAGTTCTACAATTATCGAGAACCAACCCGAAGGACGATGCTGTAAGTTGGCCATACGAAGGAGGACTGTATCCCGTATGCACGCGTGGTCCGCCTTTGCTTCTCAACAACTGGCACGTTCCATATGGTTAGCTGGTATGGTTCGGGTAGCCTATAGGGTCGGCACGCTTTTGGCATACTGGTCGCTTGATGGCGGTTGAGTAATCGCAATGTCACTCTTCTTTACATTCGTCAAAGAGGATTGAAATAGCGCCAAAGGATCTTAGGGAACGACATCTTCGAGACGCAGCGAGAACCAGGCCGTGTGAAGGAAAAGGTGAGGAGGCCTTCATCGATTCACAATCACGATAGGCCATCCTATCGTGACAAATAGCGAGCTCGTGGAATCTCCAATACAGAATGGAGTCATTCTTTCGCCCAAAGGGCCCTGTTGAGCGATGAGTAAGAGATGGTTGGGGTTCAAGTTAATATTCAGACAAGCAGCCGAGTCGCGTTGGGCATTTCAAATGTAGATACAGTCATTTATTCCTGATGCTCACGCCCAAGGGCAATTTGGCCACCATCGTGGGCACGCATTTGACGATGTCGTAGTCGTCGTAGAACGGCGGGAAGACGAAGAGGTTGTGGAAGTTGGGCGAGCAGTGGTTGTTGTGGATGAAGGGCGTGTAGAGCTGGTGCTTGTGGTCACAACTGTGCTGCTGCTGCTGCTGCTCGGAGTGGCCGAGCCGGGAAGCGAAAGCTCCATAAGGAACGCTACAGCGAGTTTCGTAAACTGCAAGCTGTGGTCCCAGTCGAAACCATTGACATTGACGGTATCTCCGTCGCCGTGAATGCTAGGATTGTCGTTCCTATACGAATTTGGTAGTTAGATGCGCCCGGACGGCACTATGAACCACGTACGAAAAGGTGCTCTCAAATGGAAATACTGAAGAATACCCTGAGCTTGTCCAAGAGGCGTGGTCGGAGCATGCGTATCCACATTTGGATTCGGCGATACCAATATTGGTCACTAAACTCTGTTAGACTAGGCCCATATGTCGAATTTTTCTTACAATAGGCATTGATTAGCGTCTTGGTAAATGCCGTTAGTGATGCGTCGACATAGTCGGTGATAAAGCCAACAACTGGGTTCGTCCCAGGCTTGACGTATCCAGTCATATCTGTGCAATGTCAGATTCATTCTCACCAAGATGATAGGCGTACCCAATTGGAGCATTCCCCTGACTGCCGTGCCAGCGCTGGCATACGCCTTGGCAATGGCTGAGCTTCCAAGGAGACCGCCCTCCTCGCCAGCATACCAGTGATATTCGACCGGATTAGCTGGTTTGAATCCGGCAGCGGTCATTTTGCGGAAGGCCTCGATGAGGTTGACAGACCCGGATCCATCGTCGTCTGCACCAGGAGCACGGCCGTTCATCGGAGAACCTTGGTTAATCGTGTCTACAGAATTTCTAGTGAGAAAAAAGGATGAAATAGGTTGAAACGTAGACCGACCAAGATGTGCGCCAATAATCACGACTGGTGCCGTAGGATTTGTACCTTCAATACGTGCAATGACAGATGGCATCGTGAAAGTGTTGGAAAAAGTCTTGACTGTGATGGCGCCTCCGGTACCTGGAGCAGCAGAGGCAATCGTCTTGAGTTTCGCAGCGAGGTCGTTTGCGGATGCAGCACCGGTACTAGAGCGATAGTAGCGGTTATTGTAGGCGGTGAGTACCGCAAGATCGGACTTGAGGTTGTCGATTGAGAGTGTGGAGATGATTGCCTTTACCTCGCTCTGGTGCGTTGGACCAGAAGGGACTTTAAAACAGTGAGCACTCTTGGGTGAATACGAATCAAGGCACACTTACAAGTTGCTACGAGGTTTAAATCACCAGCAGCAGCGCGTTGTGCACGGACTTCGTCGAGATCGTTCTCCGTCACATCAAAGTATCTGAAACCGGAGCGCTCGAGCTCATCTTTTTCAAATGCAGAGAGCAAGACTGGTGCGGCACCTACAGAGCGTGATGAGCAGAGGTAGAAGTGGCCACAGCGAAAGACGTACCGTCGGAGAAACGAATCTTGCGAACACCAGGGGCATTCATAAACGGAGACGTGGTACCAGTCGAGTTTCGCAGATTCGCGAGCCAATAAGCAGGACTGCCTCCGTGGTTATGGCATGCCTGGGTCTCTGGAACCCAGAGGAAGGAGGATGCTGCGAGAGCCACGAGAGCGAAAAATGAATGAGAGAGCATGATCAACGAGTGATAGGGCGTGGAAGGAGAGTGATGGGTGTATAATCCACTTCAGAGCAAACACGCTCGACAAAGAGGGAGAAAGAGGTCTGTAGACATCCGAGGGTAACCACTATAGGCTTATATAGCATCTTCGGAAAGCGGGGCGCTTGGTATGCTGTACCGGCCGTGTACCGAGGCCGGCACATGCAGCCATGGGGCCGTAGCCACCGATACGCCGCCGCGTCCTACCACATGTAGAGATAGAATGGCCTCGAAGAATACCGACGACTCGCGTGCAAACGAATGGCTTCTCCTTCCTTTCTGCGACTTTGACCGACGCGACCTGACAACAAGGGATTGGACCATGTGGGTGATACAAAGACGCTCTTTGGCTTGGCAGTGTTGCGTTTGACCAGTTACGTAGTGGCCCACTGGACGCCTAAATGTGCCCATATGCTGAGGAAGAACGCCTTCCAGCATCGCGATATCAGATGCTGGCGCAGTCGATTGCCGATATACGAGTCGTATGGTATCAAAATACAGTTCTTTGGCGTTGGCATATTTGCTGGCTTAGGCATAGTCAGTCACGCCATCCCTTGATGTTCGCTGGAATAGAGCTGGACGCCCTGACATTTGTTGGCATATCCATATGCTCAAGCACACATGAGATCAGGAGGCGGGACACCCAAGATCCGCGTTATCTGTTCCTCACAGGTTGTGGTCAGGGGCAAGTTTGTATCGGCACTCCTATTTCTTTGCATCTTGATAAAAAATGGGGAAAATAGTTATTAAAGAATACATTATCCTTTACGATCCTACGTAAAGAAGGAAAGTGGTCCAAGGAACAATCTTAAGGACGTCGGGAGGGAGACTTTTGAGCAAAAGATTGGCCACAATAGCTTCTTCCCAATCCTCCTTTTTACCGTCCGCCAGTACAATGTGACAGAGGAATCCGCCGACATAGTATACAAAGACGAGGAGGATAACCTGACACAGAGGGATGAGCAGAGGTGCGGTCGTCATGCCTATCGCGGCATACATCCAGACATAGGGCATCCAAGGTGCTACAACTGCTGTCGTACCAGCGAGGAAGTGAACAGAACCGAAAATAGTCCCAATTGCCGCCATGGCTCCCAAGACTTTCAACTCCATCTCCGTGTCTGGTTCACCAGAATAAAATATGGGTATCCGCTTGAGACTTTGCAAATCCGCATAGTCGTCACGACCGGTCAGTAGAATAACGGAATACCGGTCAAGCCTTTGAGAGGCGGTCATTTTGGTGCGCCTCGGTGGGGTCGTCGTAATATTCCCGAGCGTGTACACCGGAGTTGGCCGCTAGAGATCATAGGGCTTGTTCCACCATGGCATGTGAATGCATAGATTGACAATGGTAAATCTTCATCCCGAGGGATCGCGATCGATCTCCTCCGCAGCAAGGATTCGACGGTATCACGGTTCAAAGGGTGAATTGGTGCGTCATAACGTTCCAGCAAAGAGTCGGCCAATGTCGTGTTCTGAGCTATGACAAGGGACCGGTGAAGACCCGCCACTGTAACTTAGAATGCCGCTTTTTGCGAGATACCTGAAGACAGATATTAGAATACGGAATCATAAAGCAACGAAAACATACCGTATATTCTCGAGATTTTGTCTGCCACAAGATATTGCCTGACTGCCCACGCCAACGTCCATTCGGGTACGAGGAGGGTGACCAGAAACGGAATCAATCTTCCATCGAGTAAACGACGAAAAGATAGACTGCATTGATCTCTAAACGCCATCTTCTTGTCAACGACTGGTCGGGCACGTTGGGGTGTACAGAGATCCAGGTACAGAGGAAGATTGTCGTGAGGCAGCTCACGATAATACCCCCAAGTTTTCTGTACTCCTCGACGTCTCTACATGGCTCAAGAGGTGTGCTGCCCAACAGAGTCACATTTCCTGCCATGTTGTAAGATTTAGAAGGATAGGAAGTCACCGACGTGAATGATAAACAAAACATCGACCTTAAAACACCTGGGGCGCGATTTGAACGGAGCGGATACTCGGCTAAGAAAGCTAACCAGCAAGTTGACATTCACCAGGTGGGTGGCGTAGAAAGGGACTGGCCCTGTGTGACTAGAACAAAATCAAGTTATGGTTAGTCTTTCCTTTGACTCGAGGTGCCTCGTGTCACAACATTTGATAATAAACAATGAAGAAGCGAGTCGTCGTGCACCTAACGCCCTGGTTGGACAAGCATTTGGGGGGTTAGACTTTCGCAGGGTGCCTCGTTGTCGCAACGTCGATGATTGACCCATGAAGAGACGAAGTCGGGCCTGTTGTCGTGAACTTGGTGGTTATTCTGATACGCAGCTTGGTTCCGAACACATGTCGTTCCAGGCTCTTGCAAGCTTCGACTACCAGCGATTCAATCTGTCCACGATGACCGAATCCTCGAGACGCCCCTGTCATAACGACTAGCTTTAATAACCGGTCGCAGTCAGTTATACTAAATTTGTCAAACCCGCTTCAATTTCTGTGGCGACAACACACTGGTGTACAACTGTTCCATAAGATATGCACGTGTCCTCGAGCACCTCATGAGCCAGAGATCGCGGCCTTTGGTGCCGCTTCTGGTGCATTTGACAGCTATCCGACAATGAGGATAACACGTTGACGGAATAAAGAGGACTCACCTCGTTTGCCGGTACATGCGGTGCCTCATCGAGAAAGTCTGGTCCAGCCGTGACCTCTGTGAGATACGACGGCTCGTTGTCTTCAAAATCTGAGAGCGCGTCGAGTTCTTGTGGGATATCAGATCCAGAAATAAAGGTCAAGCAATATGGAATGCATACCAGCTTGCAACTCGTCTTCGTCGATTTCATCCGGAACAGCATATGACCGCGCCATCGTCTCTTGAATCTCATTTGCCTGCTCTAGCAGATCCTCCATTTCATAGTGCAAAGCCTATTATAATTAGAAACCGAGTGAGATGATAGAACCCGAACGCTCACATCAATCTTGTCGACGTCAATCTTGCCGTACTGACGTCTGAGCTCCTTGTTTGCCGTCTTCATCGCGTCAACAGTGGCCATGGTGTTTCGCAAGTTTTCTGTAGTGAGCTGTGCGGATTCCATATTCCACGATTGTTGCTGTAACTGCGCGAGTTGGCCTTCGTACCTAGATATCATCAACGACGGCTATGCGTCCACGACGAGGAGCGTACATCTTCTTTTGTTTAAGCGTGGATAGAGCACGTTGTGTCACGGCGTTCTGTCAAATAGACGACGAGTGTGAGCGACGTAAGAGACGGTGGCGTGCAGACGTGGCGAGTTGAAATGAGGGTAGATTACCTTTCCTGGACCGTTTCTCATCTTTGACATTTGTTCCTTGTACTTTGCGAGCTCGGCGTCCAACTTGCGAATCTTGACTTCGATGGTCGAGGCTCGCTGGTCTGTCTAGAGTGACAAATGGGTTTATTAGCGATTGTAATAGTGATACACGCCCTCTAGAGTGACATACCGAGGCGATTGCATCCTGGAGTGATGGTTTTGGCTTTCCAGTGGATGATCCAAATATGCGATTCATGTTTTGATTATAATCTGCGCTGGTGGCCCGCTAACGAGGTCTAAAAGTGTGGATGTTGTCAGGGTCAAGTGGCAGAAGCCACAAGTGGTGCTAAGCCAAACTTGATAAATGTACACTGATAATGGTCCACCTGAACCACACTAGTGGGGCAATAGACGCAGCTTGTCCCTGGCCAGCTGGGGTATAAGAATGGACGGCCGTGGCCTGGACACTCCCCGCTACGACCAGCTCCCTCAAAACTTTTCGTCTGCAGGCTCGACCATTGGCGCTCCAACAGACGCAGGCGACAGCGAGCACAGACAATCAGGCGTAGCATCAACCATCAGCGGATCACTACTCTCGTACTATTCAGGAAGAGACATGGCGGGATTATTGAAGAAGATGGACGGCAGAGAGTACAACTCGCTCAATGATGCCTATTTCTTACCCAGTGGTGAGTACACTTATGCTATTCCCATCCCGTGTCTGATCCCTTGCAGACGAGGCGGAATGGGACAGATTGTACGTCCAGCACATTATAGTGGCCTCATCCATGCCTCAACTTTTACCAGAGATAAGCAGCACATTGCCTTTCGAGTTGGGCTCAAGGCCCTCGTGCCCTGCCCAGACATTGTAGATGCCTGTCTCGCTCCGGCTCCAGGGATCACCCGTAAAGTCCTCGATCTCGGTATGTAATCTGCCATCATCCACGTATTGCTGACCACGCCTAGGATCCGGAACCGGCGTATGGTAAGCCGACCTTGGAACCTCGGCAACGATTAACGACAACCAGGGCGATTGACATGGCAAGAGAGTACCCACACGTCTCCGTTGTAGGCGTAGATCTAGCTCGTGCGTTTCATAATAGTACGAACGCACGATATTGACTCTTCCAAGCCACCCCTCTTGACCCCGCATCAGTCCCGTCAAACTGCCGCTTCGAAGTAGACGACGTCAATCTTGGCTTGGGTCACTTTTACGACCAATTTGATGTCGTACACGCCCGTCTCATCTCAAGCGGCATCAAGGACTATCGCAACATGATGGAAGAGGCAGAAAAGTGTCTCAAGCCAGGTGGAGTTGTCGTCTTTGTCGACTATGACGCAATGTTTTGCGCACAAGATCAAGTAAGCAGGCAGCCCATGGCGGAAACAAACGAGAATGGCTCTTGGTTGGTCAGGTGCAGTCACGGTCCGTACCCTGCACTCCAATGAATCCCGCTCACGACGAGTAGAAATGCGACATGGTGCTCCACTAAAGGGCAGCGACATTCTTGGTATGGAGAAGTGTCTCGACGAAGGCGTCTGGGATCACGAACTGCTTGACCCAGAAACGTGCGTATCTCTAGTACACTGTTTATCCTGTTACTCAAGACCATATAGTGCACAAGCTGGAAGTCTCTTCCTTCCGATTGGCCCATGGGTCCGCGTCCCCGATCCGGCCAAGTCGGAGCAAATGAAATTCGTCGGCACTATCATCCGCCACGACTACACCAGCGCATTCCGCGCCGTCATTCCCGTCTTTGGTCGCCTCGGTGTCCCACCAGAGGTCGTCGAGAAGTGGAAACCACATGTAGAAGAAGGCAAGTTTCTGCTCTGATTCAGAAGAACTAGGAATGACTAACGTCGTTGATCAGAGTTGAGCTCGACGACGCTGCGCATGTGGTCACGCACGCGAATGGCTTGGGGTCGTCGACGTACCGGCCCAGGTGAACCCGCACCACCACTCCCAGAGATCCCACCAAAGCCCAAAGAAGACACCGAGGAACCAGAGCCAGAATCACGGCCACCCAGTGTCACCCCCGTGCCCATCTCAGGCGAGCTACTCGGTTCGACTCTGCGAGACTACGACTGGTTCCATCTTTACAAGACGAAAGAAGAGTGCGTCGCCGCTGCAAAGGCCCGTAATGACTCGCTTGGACCCGTTCCGACGCCGTGGGTCTTGATCATGGTGGAAAAGATGAAGAAAGCCGCTGCTGCTGCGTCTACGTCGAAATAACGTATTTCTGAATGTACCGGAAGGTTAGGAATTCTTTCATAAAGCGAAAATTACAATCAAGCTCCTCGAATAAACGGATGAACGAGCGCATCTCTAGGGGTAATCCTCCTCGCTGGATCCAGATGAAGACACTTGTCCAGCAAGTCAATAAGTGCCAACACCTCCTTTTCCTCTGCAACAGCCGCAGCGTCGTCTGGATTCGGTGCCGTGGGCTGTAGCCGCGTCCTCAGATCGCGGACTGGCTTCGTAATATGAATCTTCTTGTTCTTATCCTATTTCAACGGATAAGTATATGGCCAGTTGCAAGTTGAAAGTACTCACACCACCCCCTCCTTCGAGCACTTCGTAAAACCCGCCCCCTCGTCAAAGTAGACATCCCCAAAGCGCGCCTTTTTGACTAGCTTTTGGTTAAATCGTCCCTTGAGCTCCATCATCAACTTGAGCATCTCGCGATTCGAACGTCCAGGAAAGAGAATCCTCCCTGTAAACAGCTCATAGAGCGTACACCCCATGCTCCACACGTCCACGGCGCAGTCATACGGTAGCCCGAGAATAATCTCTGGCGCACGGTAGAACCGCGAGACAAGATATGGCGCGATTTCAGCCGTCTCATACGAAATGTCCGTGGCCGACCCAAGGTCGCAGAGTTTGAGATTTGAGCGCGATTCGTTGATGAGGATATTGTCAGGCTTGATGTCTGCGTGAAGAATGTTGGATTTCCGAAGGTGGGAGAGAGCGAGGAAGAGCTGATGAGCGTAGACGCGGACCGCCTTGATGTGAAGCCCTACGTCTCGACCATACTTCTTGATCGTATCGCGAAGGTTCATACTCAAGGACTCGAATACGAGACACAAGTGACCCCGATGTTCAAACGTCCGCTCGAGCCGAATGAGGTGCTTCTTGTCTTCTGGATCTCCCTGGCGGAGCTTTTGCAAGATTTGCGCCTCCTTCGCACCAGCCTTGTACATGCTCTCTTGCGATCGCACAATCTTGATCGCCACCTCTCCAACAGGTCGTTCCTTGTCGCCGTCCGGATCAAAGACCCGCGCTTTGACGACATTGGAGAACATTCCTTTGCCGACGAGCGCAAAGACTTGGTATCGACCACCGTCCAACGACTCTCCGAGGATGATTTGATAGTAACCCTCTTCGTCAGCGGCAGTGTCCATCGTCTCTGGTGCAATCGTCGTAACTTTCTGCAGGCAAGTTGTGAATACCCGCCCCATCTAAAAAGTTTACCATATACCTTGACCACGCGCTTCTTCTTCTTAGGCTTCTTCTCCTCTTCGTCTCCAAGCGCAAACATGTCCTCAATCTCATCTGCATCCTCCTCTTCGTATTCACTGCCTTCCGCCTCCAACTCTTCGACGTCATGTGCCAACTTGGCAGCCTTTCGAACATCATCGCGCATATCCTGAGATGGGTCATAATCCGCTGCGACGACGCCTTCGGCGCCACCATTTTGCAACTCCTTGTCGTCTAGTTTGATCCCATGGTCATCCGTTGCGCCAACTTTGCCTTTGCTGAGTAAAAAGTTGCCATCCTCTTGTATGTTCAAAGAGGGAGAGGGTGCAGCGCCAGTGTCCATTGCCGAAGGAGTCGATTGCCCAGGTGTAGACCCTGCAGCAGAGGCGATACTCGCAATGCGCTCAAGGGGATTGGCAGACAAGGTAAATGCGACTGCAGGGCCTTGAGAATTTGTTGCTTTGGCTTGGTACTTTGCCAGGATTGCAGCTCTCCGTGCGCGACGTGCTTCCGCGTCGTCTTCAAATTTGGGCTGCTCCTTTGGCCCAAAGTCGAACTCTTGCTCGTCTGGAGGTGCTGTTGTGGAGTCTTGCATGACGGTACTAGACACAGGTGGTCAGCTAGGCCGATATAAACAAAGAAAAGAAAAGCAGGGGCGCGTACAGAAGAGCGTAAGGTCGACAATATCCCGATACTCACTCTACCAAAGCATGAGGTGATATTCTATGACTTGGTCAGATATACTCCCGATAGAAAACAAGGACTTACTCTCCCTCTTCCTTCTCATCGTCTGGGGACATTTGTTTTGGTGCCTTGGAGGTGGGAGAGAAAGATTTCCGCGCGTTTTCATCCTTTTTGCTGCTATTGCTGCCCGCAAGAGGTGATCGCTCCCGGTGAGGAGTGGATGATGAAGTTCGTAAGGCTGCTTGGGGCGAGTTGCGACTATGGTCGCGGTATCTTTCTCTTGAACGGTCCTTGTAGCGGTCCTCATCACGTCTGGAACTGTTCCTCCCGCCGTCTAGATGAGCAGCGCGCCAGTCACGCGGGGTGTCCTCACGTCTCGAGCGTTTATGGGCAGAGGATCTTGCGTAATCATGGTCTAAAGCTCTCTTTTCTGGGGGCATGTTAGCTGATCCTGGTATTGGCGTGGAGATGTCACCGACGCCTCGACAGTAGACGAGGTCAGGGAGAAAAATGGAGAACCACAGCCACCACAAGTTTGTACAAGACTAGTTATTACAAAACGAAAAATTTCAATCGTGGACTCCGAAATCTCCAGTTTCATCTCCTTTACATGGTTTTCCCATCTAGGGTGGCGACTATGTGCTCCAATCGTAAAGCCCATCGGCTTGGTAGCCTACAAAGTATCAGCAAACCTAGATTCCATGAAAGATCTGTCTGACTGCCTCTATTAGCCTTCTGAACGAAGACGTCAAACCAGGTCCAGCACGTGTTGCCCAGCCCTGATCGGTGTGACTTGTCAGGTAGTCGATCAATGTTGGGCAGTAAACGTCGAGCATCAATTCGAATGGCTATCTTGCTTCGATTATAGTCATAGACGACAAAGGGCTCAATGCTCCGTTTTACAAGTCTCTTCTTGACCTCCAAGCAGTCAAATATCATACTGACAAGTCCCATGGGTGGCGCCGGCCTGCGCGAGTGCACCTCTCTTTTTCGCAGTGAGCATAGTAGTAAAGAAGAGGGGGCCTCCTTCTTTCGAGTCTTCATCGTCGACAAAGTAGCTTTCCACTATATCATATTCGGTCTGACCAATAATGGCCATACCCCGCTTCAGTGATTGCCCAAGATGTAAAGGGATACTCTGTTTATGAAATCAGAGTGGAGATTGGTCTCGCAATGCTATGGGACACGTCGGAAGGGTTGACGACGGTGGTCGGCTCCAACGTTGTTCCCTTGAGGGATCTATTGAGACTGGCACAACGTGTGCCGCCGCTGTTTAGGTGCGAATTCCCGTCCCTGTGCAACATATGTTCTTATAGAATAACGGGGCGGTTTCCAGCTCTACAATATGAGTCCTACTCTGCATCAGAGAGGTGTGGATTCCTTAGCCGAACCGCGTGGGGTCGAAAGGCTCCCAGATCTCTAGCTTCATCTCCTCTACGTGATTTCTCCATCCGGGGTAGCAAGCGTTGGCGCGTGCAGTAATGTAGTCTCCTTTTCCAGATGAGTCCAAAGGGGATGGGTCGGATCGAATACAGGTCCCTGCAGTTCAGTCGTCGTGGAGCTAGCAAGCTCATTGTAATGGCTTATCCATTCATATGATTTAGGCCCCTGGTGGCCTACAGAGTATCAGTACAGGTAGAGATCATCAGAATTGTCCTGACTGTGCTTAGCTTTCCAAATAAATATGTCAAACCAGGTCCAATTCCCTGCATTTGGGTCCGATACCCAACCCTGATCATGCGACTTTGTCGTGAGTTGCAAATGCAATCGACCGATGCTAGGTAGCAGCCGCTTGGTATCAACAGCAATGGCTACGTGGTTGCCGTCGTAGACTGAAAAAGGTGCAGAAGTCTTTTCTACAATCGAATTCTTGACTTCTAAGTAGTCAAATATCGTGATAACGAGCTCTGTGGGCAGTCCCGGTCTGTGCGAGTTCGCGTCTCCTCTTCGAAGTGCTCTGGCCAGAGCGTAGTAGTAAAGGAGAGGATTATCTTCTTCTCCATCAGAGCTATCCTCGGATAAATGACTTTGCACTGCGTCCTGAACTATTTGGAGTAGATCTCTGATGCCGCGAAAGAGGTCCATGCAGGCTGTTCAGAGACTGCAACGATGTCTTGTATTTGCTAGGTCAAATTGAAGCCAGCGAGGAACACTGTTATAGATATTGTCGTGAAAATTGAAGATTGGTCGGGTCCAAAGTTGTTCATCCACCCTTCAAGTGCGCATTCCTACATTCTGCATAAAGGGGAGGTGTCTAAACCAACAAGCGACTTCTAATTTACAAGATGGGTTCTATTTGGGTCAGAAACGTTGGGCTCCCCTATCCAAACCGTGTGCAGTCGAATAGCTCCCAAACTTCCAGCATCTTCCCTTTATATGGTCTCCCCATGCGGAACGCCCGGCATGAGGGCATGTACCGATATAGCCTCCAGTTTCCAGGTGACTCCAGAAAGGATGGGCAGGATCAAATACAGGACCCTGGAGTTTGATCGACTCGCGTTTGTTAGGCCTATTGTCCACTTGTGCCATTTACGATGCTGTTCTCCTAAGGGTATCAAAAGAGGTAAAATATGAGAATACGTCCTGACCGGTTTTTGCTTCCTCGATAAACACAAAAAATGGTCCGATTCATCGCATTTGGATGTCACCCAACCTTGATCGTGTGATATCGTGAGTAGCATATGCAAGTGACCAATGCTGGGTAGCAAACGCCTTGTGTCAATCTGAGGCGCTATGCGTCTGTCCCGACTGAGAAAAAGCCCATATGATGTTACCAAGAGTGTCTTCTTGACCTCTAAGTAGTCGAATATTGCAATAACGAGTTCTGCAGGCAAAGCCGGCCTGTGCGAATTGGGATCTCCTCTCCGCAGCGCTCTGGAGATGGCAGAGTAGGAAAGAAGAGGATTAATTTATCCTTGTTAGAGTCATCACCGAACGCATGACTTTCAACCGTGTCTCGACCCGATTGGGTTAAATAGCTGATACGGCCAATTGGCTCCATGCTTTAGTGATTATAGGAGTGTCCTGTTTGTTAATAAAGCAGCGTGAAGATTGTCTCTCTCAATGTATGGAAAGCCGACAAATTCTGGCGGTGGTGGCAGAGTCCAAGCTTGCTCCTGAACCATGAACGGCGTTCGTCGTGAACAGGGGCCAACTCCCACAGACGGCTCGATATACTCCGCTGAAGCTGTCCAGGTACTCATTTCTTCCCTCTATATGGCATGAAGCTCTTTATGGAGCGCTAACGTTGCATTACATCGGCCACGAATATGTTTATGTCGAAATTCGTAACCAAATGGATTCTGTCAACACTCTGATATCAATATAGGATGTTGCCGCATCGATAGGATTGCCAAACCTGCCGGACGAGTTGCTTCAACGCCTAGCAAAGGACGTTGAATATCGCATTCACCAAGTTGTCGAGGTGCGTCAAGCATTGCGAGAGTTTGTATACGATGATTGTTCATAATTTCATGCAGGAAGCCGCCCGCTTTACGCGACATGGTAAACGAACAACGATGAACACGCAAGATATCGACCTCGCCCTTCAATCTCTCAATATTGAGCCTTTATATGGACATCTATCACACATGCCTACTGTTTTCCGTCGCGCAAATCCCAATCCGGCCGGCACAAATTCCAAAGTGGCTGCACCAGTATATTTTGTAGAAGATGAGGAAGTCGACTTTGACAAGGTCCTTCGAGACGAAAAGGTCACCCTCCCAAAGATGGTAAACTGGCATGCCCATTGGCTCGCCGTCGAGGGCATCCAACCGTTGACCGCAGACAACCCTCCACGACCTCCTTTATCAGGTAAGGCTCATATTTGGTTCAAATTATATCATTCTGACGAGATGTCAGAACAAAAAGGCCGCAAGCAGTCACCACCTCGGTCTGTCCTGGCCCCGGTCGCACCTGCGATGCAAGGTGCCGGGGCGAATCGCAAGTACAAGCCAGTCAAACATGTCCTCTCTCGCGAACTTCAAATCTACTACTCTCGTCTCACCGCCGCTCTCCTCCCGCCTGCTTCTTCAATTACAGACGAGGCTCAGCAGAATGCTCGTCGCACGGCAGCATTAGCAAGTCTGCAATACGACGCTGGACTGCAAAACCTCCTGCCATATCTCGTCAGATGGGTTGGGCAGAGTGTTGTAACGGCTATCCGAAATATGGACGAGCGAGAGCGGGCAAGTAAAGCGGCCGACGCGACTGGCGAGACACTAGAGATATTGCTCAAGGTCATCCATGCTCTGATTCAGAATGAAAGGTTGTTCATCGAGCCCTATGTAAGCACACTATTTCGGGCTAGCAACTTACTAATATCCCTCAGCTTCACCAAATCTTGCCTCCTCTCCTCTCGATCCTTTTGACTTCCTCCCTCCCAGCCAATCCACCAACTCTAAGGCGAGACGCATCGGAGATCCTTGCATTTATATCACTACAACACGGCACGACATACCCATCACTCTCTGAACGACTGACAAAAACATTGCTACTGGCACTTCTCGCGCCATCCAAGCATCTCGATGCTGCCGCAATTACGACGTCTGCTAATAATGCAATGATGATCGACAGTGAAGGCGCACCAACAGAGTCTGCGATTACTGGCCCCGCTGCTAGTGGCGCGACGGACAAGTATGATTTCTTCGAGGGGCGTATGCACGGTTCGAGTGGATCTCGAGAGGGCGCTGTTCGTGGCCTTGCAAGTCTTAGTCCACAGGCGGTCGAGCGTGGGTTGATTGAGAGCGCTGGTGCCAAAGTTATCGGTGAAGAGGCCATTCACGATGATGATGGTGAAGTTCTTGCTGCAATGGTACGTCGTGATTCTGTATACTTTCCTCTTGTCAAGCTAATATTCTTTCAGGATGCGCTCGCGACGCTGAGACCGAGGTCGAAGAATCCTGTTCCTCTCGATGAGTCAGATACAGAGACGAGACGAGAATTGGAAGAGGTGTTTGGACCTCGATTCGCGCGGCTTCTTGGTCAAGATGGAGTATGGGCTAAAGCTTTACTCAAACGTCATGTAGAATAATAGCATACATTGGTATTACTGGTGGAGAACAAGTTGAATGAAGTGTCCTTGACAATCTTGAATGGCATAAGGGGAAGAACGACGGGTAACTGTACTACAAGCCAAATAAAGCGTCTTTGACGATCCTGAATGAGCAATGTGTGACTTGCGGTTTATCGGGAGGTATCATTAGAATGTCCTGGGGACGCATTGGGACAAGCTTCAAGATGGCGTGTGATGTTGGATACTTTGTCCTCGACCTTCGTTTTGAAGCCACTTAGGTCGTGTGAGTAAAACGCCGGAAATTCGAGAATGGTGCTCACCAATTGTTTGGGCAAGGAGAATATGTCCGGGACTCGCTGTGGGTGTTCAAATGTCGTTCTACTGTTTGCTTCAAAGGAAATTTTTTGTTACTATGAACTATTAGTACTGGAATAGACAAGCTCAGGAAACATACCAATGGACGCACGCATATCGTCGTATCCCCAAGTGCCAGTCGATGTGGTCAGTGACCTTGGTCGCCTGCTTGATGGGACCGTGTCCATTAACTGGGATGCCGCCGGGGCAGCCCAATTGACAAGGCCACCAATTTTGACCAGATGAATCACGTTCTTTAACGCGCAATGGCTCACCCCGCAGCATATTGAGTGGAATCGGCTTTAGTTGGCTACGCCATCTGGCATCTGAGAATAGACTATTTAGAGCGGCGCTCATGGGCCCATCGGATCCGGCAAAGGCTAGGAGCTCCTCCTCAACTTTGTCGGACGAGAGTTTTGGGCCCTTTGGATACTTTGGGTTGGCTGGTTTGTGGCCGTAGAAGCTTGTGGAAGCATCCGAGGGATCTTCAAAGTCGGGAGTACTCGGGCTCTCGTCTTGATTGGAACTATTCGCTGCCTCTGGGATTTTGAATTCCAACACTCCGTCCAATGAACCGTAGTGCTAAGTTGTGTCAGAGGGGAAACTAGGCATCAAGGAGTACCGCTTACCACAGAGTTGAATTGAGACATGATGAGGAATATTGGACAAACCACGCCGTAGATGAGTCGGAATTTATACTTTTTGCGTGTTCAGATTCCCTCCCGGTTTGCCTCGTTGCGGAGGACCTGGCGAGCAGATTCATCGCCAGGTATGACTCTGGTAGCAGGTCCCATTTCAACGAACAGGCCGTGATATTCACTGAATTAAGAGACTTCTGGCCAGAGGTGAAGTCTCTAAGAACAGAACCAAAGAGGCTGCGGCAGGTCGTGCCAGACCTAGCAGGTAAGCGCCTATGGTGAATCACAACAGCCATTCCTGGCTCATACAGAGCCATCTCAAACCATTCAGAAGGCTTTACGAGCGCCACAGATTCGGATTTGACTCATCTGAGCTGTGGTGGAATCTGAAGAGACGCAACGCCGGGCGTGTGAAGCATGTCGAGTTGGCATTCCTGAGTCATAGTTGATTTTCTCTGTTTTTTGGGAATATTCTGTTTGGTTGAAGAGTGCGGCGGCAACTGAAAGAGATGGCCAACTCAAACTTGGAACTGATACCCGTCGAGCCCAAAATGCCTCCACGGCGCAAAGGCGCAAAGGCAGCGAAAGCAAAGGCCAAAGAACCAGCAAAAGATCAATCTCAGACTGTATCAACAGCACGAGGAGCGCGTAAACGCGTCCGGTTGCCCGAACTGCCCCTTGAGTTGTGGCGTATGATCATCAAAGAGGCATGCTCTTACCCGTTCGAGATGGACTACAGCGAGGAATCTCCACGAGCAATGGCTGCGCTCGGCTGTCACGACCTACGCACCTTCAACCGCATAGGAGGGCTGGACGCCCGCCGGCTGGCATATCAGACGCGTCGAAACGTCGTTCTCGTGAACAAATTATGGTGGGCACTCGGACAGGAATACTTCTACCACACCATCTTTATCAGCGAGAGCTCACGCCCACTGTTCCCCGACCTCCTTTGCCAGTTTCTGCGCAGGCCCAGCATCTGTCACTATGTTAGGCGTCTTGAACTCAACTTCGAGATCAGTCGAGTGTCTGTAGAGTCCACAGGGACCCTCCTCCGTGGATTTATCAAGAATTGCCCAAACCTCGAAGTCGTCGATGACCATGTCACCCGCAAGACATCCTCCAAAAAAGAGCGTGGCGCATCACCCATTCGGATTGCACCACAAGCCGCTCACGAGATTCCGTTTGCCATTGCTCTCGGAAATAAGCATAAGAAGTCGATCAAACATGTCGGGTTTTCCGCAGGATCAACAGCTGCGTTTACCTTTGTGTGGTCCATTAACGCGATCAATCGCTTTGAGAACCTACAGATTCTCTCGCTCCACGAGTTTCCTGGCTGGCAAAAGCTTCCACCTCCGATGAGTCCCGAGGAAGCGCAACAGAGACAGGAACGTGCCAGGCGCAGGCTGGAGCAAGGACGGTCCCGCTATCACTATAGTGACGAAGAAGAGGAGGATGAGGATGATGAGGACGACCCCGACGCGTTTTCTATACCAAATCCGATCAGACTACCTTGCCTCCATACTCTCGACATTTCGCGTCTTCCGAACACTGAGAAGTCGATGGCTCGATCCCTTGTACATTGGCTCAAGAGTTGGGAAATTCCAGCCGTGAAGCAGCTTGGCCTCTCGGTATATCATCTCGAATCCATTCCGTTTCCGTTGCTCTACCAAGTCGCCCCGACCCTCAAACTGCTGGTCCTTCATCACTTCTCCGTCAAACATAGAACCCCACCGAACCCACCCGGGGGAGGATCGGCACGAGCACAACGGGCTTCGACTCAGGCTCCAGCTCGAATAGATCCTCTGCAAGGAAAAGTGATCGAATTCCCAGAGCTTGAGCGAATCATCGTCACAGCCCCGACAGTGAACCCCAACTGGTACCGGCTATTTGACTGTCCCAAGCTGAGCACCTACTGTGTCCAGTGGCATACGTACGAACCCACGCCATACAATCCTCAGTCAAACGGTCTCGACTCTCCGACTCCCCTGTGGACAGATTCGGAAAAATGCGCTCTCATATCACCGCGGCGTACAACCATATGCCAAGGCTCGTCACGTTTCAGGTCCTCGATGTGCCCTTCAAGTCTATGGAAATCCCAGATGACAAGATTCGCTTTTGGAGAACCGTAAACAGGGATTTAGTCGCTCGCAAGATTCGTCTGGTCGGTGCCGAGTCAACACTATGGAAGGATTGTCGGCCTGCAGATGAAGAGCAACAATTGAGAAAGAGAAAGCTGGAGGCAGAAAAGGCAGCCGCAGAAAAGGCCGCAGCAGAAAAAGCAGAAGCGGAGAGACTGGCCGCGGAGAAGGCAGAAGCAGAGAGACTAGCCGCGGAAAAAGCTGCCGCGGAAAAGGCGGCTGCATCGGAAGCGGATGTGCAGAGTGCGCTGGCTGAAGGCGCTGGAGAAGTGGGCGCATCGCAAGGTGACTCCGGTCTGCCAGATTCAGAGTCGCAAAGAACCGTCGTTTACATTCCAGAGGGGCAGGAACCCTATACAGCGCCAAACCGAGATACGGAAACCGACACGACAAGTAATGCAAACGGTGATTAGTCTTATGATGTGAAGTTTTGAAGAATCGAATTGGTAAGTCGATCGGCGGTGCACGGCGACGATGACTGACTGTGAATAGTGGCATTTTCACAAAGAATCTAATTTGTCTGTTGTTTAATCAGAAAAACATGGAATAGTAGAATCAGTACATCGCAACTTCTCACTGCATGGTTCCACTTCGGTCTCATTGATAGCGGGAAAATAACACACTTGGCTCTTCTCGCTTTGCCGGCCGGCATCAATAGGAGCATATATAAATCCTTACAGAGGCTCTCATCTGTCACGGAGCAACATGGTTCGTCGTCCAGATGTCTCGACCGTTGGGAAGCCAGATTCCTATTCGTTTCCATTCCGACGCCAGCCGCTCAAAGGTCTCTTTCTGACCTTTAAGCTTGTCCTTTTCCTCCTCTACCTACCTGCATGGATGATAGAGGGGTTGGTTCCGTTCCTCCGACCTCGGAAGTCTTGGACTTTGCAAAAGGTCCTACGGGTACGTGATACATTGCTTGCTGACACGACGCTCAACTGGTGTAGGTGAGGTTTATTCGCTTTCTCGGTAGGATTGGGGAAGGGATTGGGCCTCCTACGAAACCTTACCGAGATCCAACCGTCTACCCGCCTAAGCCAGCCAAAGGGTTCACGCTAATTCGCCCAGCCCCAGACCATCTTATTCAAGGAGATGTGCGCGTGAAGATGGAAGCAGCACATGTGCAACCAGTGACCGTCGCTGGATACTGGTACACCCAGGATGACGCACAGCTCTCAGAGACGAAGACGTCGTGCTTCTCATGCACGGCGGAATGTTTATCCTGGGCACCGCTCGACCCAGTGACCCTGCGGCGTATATCCCGAAACGACTCGTACGGCTGGCCGCGGAAAGAGGACATCGCCTTCGTGTGCTGTCTGTTGACTATAGAAGGTGTTCAACTAGGCCATTCGAGCAAGGTGGTGCCTTTCCCTCTGCGCTTCTCGATGGCTTCGCGGGATATTTGCATCTCCTCTCTTTGGGCGTTAAGTCCGAGCGTATTACTCTGATGGGCGATAGCGCCGGTGCGACGATTGCACTCTCATTGATGCGTTATATCACGGAGAATAGTCGACCAGAGGTGCCCATCCCTGCGGGAATCGTCATCTTTTCGCCATGGGCGGATATGGCACTACAAGCTACCGACTCTACAGTGTGGGATAACTGGAGGAGCGATTACCTAGGTATTTGGGGCCTAAGCTTCTACGCCACTGTCGCGCTCCTTGGGCCGCATTCCCCAGACGAGCTCAAGACGAACCTGTACATCTCACCGAGTACTCTGGCCCTCCCATCTGGCACAACGTTTTTTGAAAAGGACAAGTGGCCAAGGACGATGCTGGTGTGCGGAGACGCCGAGATGATCCTTACAGAGATTCGCACATTGAGGGAGCGCTTGCGTGAGGCCTGGCGTGGATTTGACATACTTGGAGGTCAAAGATGCCATCCACAACTTTACCATGTTCCCATGGTTTGAGCCGGAAGGGAAGCAGACGATGAATGCGGTGATGGATTGGTTTGAAGCCGGGAGCAAGGATAATAACGATTATATACGAGCAAAGTTGTAGTACACGTAAACAGCTTTACAACAGGTCTAGCGAATCGTAGGTCACACAGATACATACTCAAGCGCGAGCCCGTTTATTGTCGCGCGAGAGTTCTTCCTGCTTTTCTCTTCCTTGATCTACGGTCAATGAATCTCCGTCTTCGTATCTGATTCCGAGTGAGTCGAGTTTGGAAGCCAGGATATAGATCGCTTGTGCCGACTGAATATCAAATTTGCGAGTTTGGAACAGATGGCTATCCAGTGTCACATCCCCTTCTACTTCGTCGGGATCTTGGTCAACCATGGGGAGCACAGATAGCCAAGAGTGACTGTCGGTAATGGTTTGGAGTCGCGGAGTGGATGCACAGAAGCGCATCACGTCAGCGAAAAAGTGCAAGGGACTAAAACCAGTGTACGACATCCGGTACGAAGTATTGACCAGTCGGAGAAGTGGATGTGTACTTTGTAGATCTAGATTTCTCCACAGAACGGAGAGGGGGTAACCAAGATACAGCAACCGGGGACAGCTATGTAACACCCCAGCCGCAGAAAATGAGCGGATATTGGTGGCTCTACAAACTGTAGCGAGAGATATCGTAGGTTGTGGCCATGTCGGTGAAGAAAGCGCTGGGACTCTGTAGGCTCTGGAAGTACGCCTAGTTCAAGGTGCTCTAAGGATGGTAGAACCCAAGCGTCCATGTACAGTTCACCCAACCCGCCTATACAGGTAATGCTCAAGGTACGCAGGTGTGGAAGCCGAAGCAGGCCCTGGTCGGGAAGAGGAAAGAACGGGGCAACGTGCATGATGAGACACGTCAAGCATTCTAGTTTGCATAGTAGCGAGTCGAAACTTTGGATATGAGCAATTGGTATATCGTCTTCAGACAGGTCGAGAAAGAGCACCCTCAGATGTGGAAAGAGGTGCTGACGGTTGGAAAGAATTTCAGATGTAAACATGCCCCCTGTATCCAAGATGATTTCTGTGCTGAAAGTCTTGGCTTGCTCAATTGTTGAGGCTATGAGTCCCACAGCGCCTTCAGCTGGGCTGTTGAGAACCTCGAGTCGTCTAGCCTTGAGGATCGTGGAAGGCTTGAGAACATCTGTTGCTGTGCTAGCCATGCATAGACGCATGCACCGATGCTCGACTGAGGGAGAGTCGGCAAAGGTCTTCCATGCTTTGCACACCAGTCTCAGTTTCGCCCTCGTAGCCCGAAACTGAGACATTGCAGGACGATCCTTTATCCCCCACCAGATTTCCTTGGTGTCTGGATCCACGATGTGCATCACGCAGGTCCAATCACCTCGGCGCGTCTCGGGGTGCCAATCGTATTCGAATGGGTCGGTGGAGAAGAGAAGGAGACTGTCGATGACCCACTCAAGGATCATTCTCCAGATTTCGTTGGGAATCTGCTCACAGGCCTTCTTCTTTGGCATGACGGATAGCAGGTGGAAGCGCTTTAGGTCCCTTTAGATGCTGTATCAACGCTGAGATGGATACTTGCCTTTGGTAGTGTTGTGATCGGACACTGGCAGACGACGCGGTTGGGGACAAGTCTGTGTGCCGAGACGCCGGGTTCGAAGAAGGCCAGCCAAACCATCCATACCAGTCAGAGTGTGATTACATCGAAGGATCTGTTAGTCTGCTGCTGGTTGACGCATTCAGATCAATCATGGAGAAATTAAATGATTTTAAGGATTTCCGCTTCTTCTTTGGATTACTTGGTTACTACATTTGATGAACCGAACGTTCCCATTGGCTTGTCGAGCGGACCAACTTGGCCTCCACCGTCTCGACCTCTTTGCCTTGGTTGTCAGTCTGTCCAAGCAGAGGATTATAGACATCTTCTCTGTCGTCCTCGCAACTGTTCAACCAATAAAACGATCGAGTATCTCGACTCAGTCAACAGCCTCAAGGTTCTACTAGACTGTCCCTTGGTCGCAGCTACTCTGGGAGGGTCTACGTGGAATCTCAAATCACGCTGTTTTGACGTTCACCTTCACCATGGTCCGCCATGTCGCATTCGACGACCCATAGAGCAGATGCGAGCATCTAGTTACAGTCAAATCTGTCTACAGAGAAATTCATCATTCTCAGATCTCCCGGCGAAACTTTCTCCAGACATTCGCTCTTCGTCGGGATCTCGAAGAACAAACGGTATGATATCCTTAATCGGTGGAAGGGTGACTATCATCCGTATCCACCGCAGCTACTGTCGCTCAGGACACCAGACTCTCACCTGTAAGCATATCTCTCGAGCTCCTCGGACCCTGAGTGGCTTAGCCCATTAAAAGTGTTTAGGGGCATATAGACCATGCATACTTGATCTGATCAACTATGTCAATGAACGAACTGTGCGTATTCGACACGGCACCTGATTCACTCGCTGATATCAACCCAGCACGCAGTCAATTTCATGACAGCTCGTGTGCAGCCGGGATCAGACTTCGACGACCAATGATGCGTGCCAGCTCGCCGAACCCGAGCTATGGGGTCAAATGCGGCTACAAGTGTCTCTTGGGGATAAGTCGCATCGGAACCAAACCTGTATAAGGCGACCAATAAAAAAAATGTGGAGAGAGGGGTAAAAAGTGTCCCCGCGCCGACCCTCATCTGTCGAATCTGCCAAGTGAGACTGCTTTTACGTCGTAGATGAGGTGCCGACAACGACAAGTTGAACTTTACAGGGAAGCAGCGACGAGCTCAAGAAGAGGGTCAAGGCGCAGGTGGATTCGATACTTTCACTTGGTACATCGGAGACGTTCAGGATCAGATCGTTGAATCCCAGGAGCTGTCGTACTTGGTAGTCGGGAAGGGTAGCAAGCGTGCCACAGAGATTGCAGCAATAGGATTGCTCTCTGGCGACCCTTCATTTCGCCTATCGACTCTCGGCATCTCTTTCACAAAGGACGCGATTGTAGGGAAACTCGACGAACATTGGCACCGCGATGGCGTATCCGGAACGCTTGTACATTTGCAAAGAACGATGATGGTTAATAGCTGCTTACCAGTCTTTGTACGTGTGCTTACTTCACTGCCAGGGCTGTTATTAGGCTTCCAGCGCTATGAAAGCCGTTTGAGGGCGGGTTGGGTACACTTTCTCCATCACTTTACTCCTGAATGCATGTTTCCAATGCAAAACTCTCGCGTATTATAGCCGTTTTCTGCGACATTTCATAATGGTAATTGAATCGGTTAAGCAGTGCCCATGTGGATGGCTGTCCACATGTTTCGGATCGATACAAATCTTGAGGATATATATAGGATAATCCTGGAGTGGTTCAGTCTCTTACACTTTTCATTCTCATGGCTCTTGCAGTCGCCGTTTACTCACTGTCGAGCCGCGCAGCTCAAAATCTCACGTCGATTACGACAGAATGTCTTCCATCGTGCGCAAATCAGTATAGAAGTCTAGCTGGCATAGTTCTGAGCTGTCTCATCACCGTCTTCTTGTGTATCTGGGTGGCCCTCCATCTCAACGTTCCAGAGCCTGTGGACACCAGAGACATGAGATACTTGGTTCGGTTCAAGATCTGGATAGGATCCTCCTTTCGATGCATCGTGGTTCCGATTTGTGTGACATTGGTATTCCCGGAATGGGTTCTGGGAATAGCTGTTCTCCAATTCTCCAAGGCCACTCGACTGGCCCAAAAGATTCGTGAACTGCAGAATGGGGAGGCTAGTAAGCTACAGAAAGATGGCCGCCTTTGATACTAATTGATTTTGTTTAGAGGTCACTCGTCAACACGGATTCTTCATCCTAATGGGTGGCTTTCACCTCTTTAGACAAATCCACCCCCCATCTTTGAATAATTCTAGAGAGGAAGCCGGAGAGGGTGCTCACCTATTGGCCAAGAAATCGGCTGCAGAAGCGGGAGACAGTCGACATGACCAAACATCCAGTGGCAAGACTTCTCTGGTAGAGGAGTTCGGAGAACCTTTGCATCCTCTCGACGAATTCGATGTATTTCGCCTTCTCAAGGATCGCAAACTTCGCCTCCCTACCTCTGCCGAACTGCAGGACAAGTGCAAGAGCGATGGACTTGCAAAGTTTCTGGTTGTAGTCCAAACACTCTGGTTCATCGCTCAGTGTATCGCACGGAAAGTCAGCAAACTGCCACTCACCGAGCTCGAAGTCATTACACTCGGCTATACTCTACTCACCGTGTCAATGTACATTGCATGGTGGGACAAGCCATACCGGGTGACATTCCCCGTACGCGTGTATGAAACACTCCCAGAACGTACAAACGAGCAAAAGGGGTTGAAGAGGAGGATGGAAGAAGGCAACTTTGTGGTGATAGCCCTTGCACACGCCACGGGCTCTCAAGGAGAGCTCGTCGACCTACGGAGTGTGAAACGAGTCCCCATGTTTTACTCTGGGTACAATGAAACACAGTGGAATGTCAGCAATTTCGCCAGCATTCTGACCACAATCATTGTTGGGACGTTGTTTGGTGCTGTCCATTTTCTAGCGTGGTCGTCGCCATTTCCATCCACTCATATGCAGTTTCTCTGGCGATTCGCAGCGATTATCATGACTGCAGTCCCACCTGCAGCGGCCGTAGGCTTTATTTTGGTTGGACTTATGGCCATGGTATCCGAAAAACTGGGTGCCTTGATACTGCTCCCCTTACTGCTACTACCACCCTTGTACTTTGTTGGAAGAGGTATAACAATCGTGCTTGCATTGGTGACGCTTGCGACGCTCCCACTCGACGCGTATAGAGATGTGGAATGGTCAGACATTTTCCCCCATATCTAGACCTCACTGTCAGCATCATATCTAGCCCTTGTAGTCTATGCTTCCCAATCCTTTTGTTCCTCTGAAGCGTAGAGATGACCTATTGTTTCAACAAATAGACTACATAGAAGGTCTATCGTACCATGGAAAATATCAAGGCCCATTAAAAGACCCAGAAACCTCCCTTGAATTCGATTTGACCGCGTACAGACCTCCTGGGGTCTAGCTGAATCCAAAGTTCAGCTCGTATACGCACTCTGCTCACTCCCTTGCTCAACGAAGAGCATATCATGTGCTGCATCATACACGTCGGATCGTAGCCGCTCCTTGAAATGTGACCGCACAATCGTGAACGAGTCGTCTTGGGAACCCACCCCCGTAATCCGACTCACTAAATTCTAATGCCTGACTACGAATGGCTCCGTCTTCAACCTAGCACTACACTTGTCGTACCCATACCAAGCGATGCAGCCACCGCCTGACGAGATATCAGCGAGAATAGCGAAAGAGCCATGCGAATTTGGACTCACCAAACTCAATGTCGTATTCGACATTGAGTGCGAATGCAGCGACTTTGATCCACTCGTGGCGGACAAGACTTGTCATTCGGTCGAGGACGCCTTGACACGAAGTGGATGATTTCTTCCATCCAGAGTCGTTCGAACGGGGTCTCCATGACGTGGCTATACCCCGATAGTCTTCATTAGTTTCATATAGCGGGCCGTTGATTGAAATCAGGGCACTTTGATTGGGCTCGCTGGACCGTGGAACGGAGTGGGCACCTCAATATCGTTGCTTCCTGGAAATAATCTCAGCAATATCACACTATAGAAGAGCCTTCTACATACCATCGGACCGTAGGCTGATATTCTTTCCTACTCGCCAGCATCCAAGCGTTCTCCTGTCGAAAGGCGGTCAGGAAGGCAGTATGTTCAGGATCTTAATTCAAAAGAGCTCCTTATATAGGAGATTTGTAGCCAGGGCCATGTCTCCAAGAATTGGCGTCGACTTGTAGGAGCTGGTGGTTAGTAGTCTCATTCAAAGTCATGGGACAGGCTCCAATCAGCGATTCAAGGCAGTAAATAATGTTTCGACGCGTCGAAGAGCTCCACCGTCCTACCAAGCAGTCGAAGGCGTGACGGATATAAAGTTATTATCGATATTGCTCAGGACTTGGCGTTATCAGAGACTTTTTGTGGTAGCCAGTTCACGTCTCTGAATATTTATGAGAGCATATGGCAAATATGAGATTGTTTCAGCCGGTCCATAAGATCTAGACAGGCCATGGTCGGTTGTGGTCAGCTCCAAGGCAAGCGCCCTCTACTCGACCTCAACCGTCATGATCTTTTTACTTCAATGGTCAGCCTTCCCAAACGCAAGATTACAGCCATTTTCTATTTCGATTTTACGACTGTTCAGTCGACAAATGATCGAGTATCTTCTCTCGATTAGTAACCAAGCTCCACCATGCCTCAGCTATTGGCTACCCTGACTATTGAAAAGCGAGAACGCTTATTGAGGCGAGGATGAGTGACGGTAGATTGGAAGAAGGGAATGGGGGCGAGCGGGAAATACGAGTCTTAGGCCTCGGTAGGCGAGCGATGAACGGGAAAATAGCTGGAATTCTTCTTCTGTACATGATTATCGATTATTAGAGGCTTTATATACGCGCGAGAGCGCGAGACGAAGCGCGGAAAGGATGGAGTTGAAACGAGAGTGAGGGAGATGAGACAGAGCGGAGCTGCTGCGCCGCTTAGAGAGTGTAAGAGACTAACCAGAGTGTAAGAAACTAGCTATCTAGCTCCATGGGACTCTGGCTGACCCGTGCCACTCGGGCACAAGGGTGTTACACTATTGTCGGCTACATCTATCTTACGTGGGACCCTCTATCACGCGACTTTTTCTGGCCTTTGGCATCTACCCCTACCTGCTCTGCCACGCACGCTCGACTTCTCAACGACCGTTAGGATAGATGCGAGTATCTGATCATATTCAAATCTGTCTATGAACAAATTCCTCATACTCGAAGATGGAAGTCGTCGTCGTCGTGATTCCTCTAGGCCTGGACTCTCCGTTCAGATTCCCGAAGAATGAACAGTTTGATATTAATCGAAGGGTAACCCTCGTCCGTGTACACCTCAGCTGTCGCTCAGGACACCAGAATTTACGCCTGTAAGCAATATCTCTCGATCTGCTCAGACCGGTGGCTTAGCTCACTAAAGGTTTCTAGAGATATAGATCATACACATCCGATTTGACCAACTATGTCAATGAGCGAACTGTGCGTATTCGACACGGCACCTGATTCACTCGCTATACCAACCCAGTACGCACTCGATTGATGACAAGTCGTGTGCAGTCAGAAGCAGAACCAACGATGCGTGCTATCGCGCTGAACCCGAGCTACAGCGTCAACTGCGGCGATGGATATCCCCTGGGGATAAGTCGCATTGGAAACAAACCCGCGTAAGAGGGCCCAAAAGTTGGGAGAAGAGTGTCCTTGCACCGACCCGAGGCTGTCGAATTTACCAAGTAAGGCCGCTTTTACGTAGTCGAGGTGCTGACGACGACAAGTCGAACTTTACAGTGAAGCAACGACGAGCCCAAGAAGAGAGTCAAGGCGCAGGTGGATTCGATACTTTCACTTGATACATCGGAGACGTTCAGGATCAGATCGTTGAATCCCAGGAGCTGTCGTACTTGGTAGTCGGGAAGGGTAGCAAGCGTGCCACAGAGATTGCAGCAACAGGATTGCTCTCTGGCGACCCTTCATTTCGCCTATCGACTCTCGGCATCTCTTTCACAAAGGACGCGATTGTAGGGAAACTCGACGAACATTGGCACCGCGATGGCGTATCTGGGAACGCTTGTACATCTGCAAAGTGCAGTGATGCTGACCAGTCGTTGGAGGATTTGTAGATATGCTTATTTCGTTACCAAGGCTATTATCATGTGTCCTGGGTTATGAATCTGCCTGAGAGAGGCGAGTCGAGTGAACGTCCCCCAGTCGCTTGTACTTCCTGATGCATGTCTCCAATGCCAAATTCTCGTGTATGATAGCCGTTTTGTGGGAAATTTGAAAATGGAAATTGAATCGTTTTGTTAACCATCAGGCACGGGGACAACTGTCCACAGATTTCGGATAGATAGAGACGAACCCCGAAGATATATAGTTAATTCACCCCCGCACTTCTTCCTCATGGCTCTCGCACTCGCTGTTTACTCCTTGTCAGGCCGCGCCGCTCAGGATCTCGCATCCAACACGACGGAATGTCTTCCATCGTGCGCAAGTCAGTACAGGAGCCTACCTGGGATAGTCTTCAGCTGTCTCACGACCGTCTTCCTGTGCATCTGGGTGGCCCTCCATCTTAATGTCCCAGAACCCGTAGACACTAGAGGCATGGGCTACTTGGCTCGGTTCAAGATCTGGATAAGATCTTTCTTCCGATGCACTGTGGTTCCAGTTTTCGTCACACTGGCGTTCCCCGAATGGGTTCTGGGCATTGCAGTCCGTCAGTTCTTTGTGGCATCTCGCGTGGCCAAGGAGATTGGTATGCATCAGATAGTGAACCATTTCATAGTACTCATCTGGTTTGTTGCAAGATGCCACTCGTCAACAAGGTTTCTTTATCATCATGGGTGGCTTTCATCTTTTCAAACGAAGTCAAGGTCTTTCGAACAACCAAGTTGAGAATAGGAAGGAAAACATAGAAGAGACTCATCCATTGGTCGAAACCTCTGCGGTAGAAGCCCGAGAAGGTCGAGGTAGCTGTGCGCCAAGCAACAGGATGGCCAATCCATTTGAAGAGGAGGTTGGAGAACCAGTTCACCCTCTTGATCAGTTTGACGTCTGCCGTCTTCTCAAGGATGGTAAGCTTTACCTCCCTCCTCCCGCCGAGCTGCAGGACAAGTGCAAGAGCGATGGACTTGCAAAGTTTCTGGTTGTAGTCCAAACGCTTTGGTTCATCACCCAATGCATTGGAAGAAAAGTCAGCAAACTTCCGCTCACCGAGCTCGAAGTCGTTACGCTCGGCCATACTCTACTCGCCGTGGCAATGTACATCGCATGGTGGGATAAGCCATATCGGGTGACATTCCCTATACGTGTGTATGAAACACCCCCAGAACGTACAAAAGAGCAAAAGGAGCTGGAGAAGATGGAAGATATCAACTTTTGGCGGATTGCCATTTGGTATGTCATGGGCATTCAG